CCCTGGTTGTAACCTGGTGGTGAGTGTGAACAAGCCTTTGGACTTTTAGTGATTGAGGTCTGAGCTGGTCCGAATTCCTAACATATTTATTTGTAATCATTCATTATAATACTCCGAATTATTTAATTTATAAAACAGTGCACGTAGAAAAAAGGTTGGAAAATCTTATGTGTGGGGGGGAAGCATAAAAAGTAGTGGCCAACAAACCATGTTCTGGGAGGGAAAAAGGTTCATAAGAATTGAATGCAACATGTTTTATGATTAGCCGCCTTAAATTAATTAACTACTCCGTAAATAAATAGGATCATGCATGCGGAGTCAACGGCTGACAAATGGCAACGTCGTCGTGCCGAATTAATTCAGATTTTAAATGTTTGCCAGGCCGAGTATTGCGGTTGAACCGGAGATTTATTCAAATTAAATGTATTTTCAGTTGAACTTGTTTTACTCCCATGTCAAATCTACATAAATCAGATTTTATTCCTATAAATTTTAGCTTAAGTTAAAATAGCATGTGACTTGGAAATGCTTTATCACAACGTCCGTGAATTTCTTATGTTTGTACCATTTAAAAAGTTCTTAAAACTTTCTTAATTGTTCATATAACCCAAGAATAACGTATTTTTATATGACTAAAACATACGGACAGGGGCTGATGTATGCTAGGGCCGGCGTGGGCTTCAGTCCAGTCTAATTTTTTTTTAATAGTATTGGTACATTTTCAAATCTCAGCTCAGCCTAAATTATTCGTCAGCCCACCCCACAAATAATTTCCAGCCCAGCCCACAAAAAAAACTGGCAATTAAACCATACGTCTTTACGCAGTCACGCACACGGCCACACGCAGTCGGCAACTTAACCTCGGAACCTCCGATTCTCCGAACACCGAAGGGACGAAGACAACGAACGAAACGGGCGAAGTGGCGAACGACGAAGGGCGACGGAACAGCCGCCGCACTAAAGCAGCGAATGGAACGCCGAACGCCTCTGGCTCCGACCGACCTGACTGCCTCCAGCCTCCCTCTCTCAGCCTCTCGCTTTCTCGACCAGTCCTCCAGGCTCCAGCGATCGACACTCCGGCAGACAACAGTCCAGCGGCCAGCCTTCATTCCTCCAGGTAAATCTTCTTGCGGTCTTGCCCTTTTACCAAGTAATTTGTGCCCATTTGGTATAATTTGACCGATTGAGTTTGGTGTTGGTGTTGAATTTTAATTTGTGTAGTTCGTGAATTTTAATTTGTGAATCAGTGAAGTTATGAACTTCTGCCGTGAATTTGTAAACTGTGATTAACCGATTGTGTATTAAACTATTAATGTATTAATTATTATTATTTTTATCATTTTAGAGTTTTAGGGCTAGGGAATCATACAATCGTTTTGATTATTAATTGAATTTTTCAGTACATAATTAAATAGTTTTATTTTTTATATATAAGTATTTTAATATATACCAATATTGAAAATGTTTTTTAGAATGGATAATGAACATGTTGCCAAGAAGGGAAAGAAGTTGATTTCATCAATCTTTTCAAAAGTGAATCGTCAAACTGGTGAAGGGAGTTGTGAACCTATACCTACAACAGTGCAAGATCTAGTCAATGAGGATCCTCCACATGCTGTAGTCCCTGAAATCCAAACTATCTCAAATTTGGATTTCAATGCTCGATAGACATGCTCGAATGTAGAAGTTTAGAGTATTCAAATTTTTATTAATCATTATTAAATTTATAAAAATTGCACTAAAATGTTTAAATTTTATGATATGTACAATAATATAACTTATATGTGAACGATAGGCTCGTGTTCGGATCGAAACATCACTATGTTCGATCTCGGCTTGAATAATTATTCAAACTCAAAACCTACTCCGTGTTCGAGTTCGAAACTTGTTAAACTCAATTCATTAAATTAGATTCGAAATCAAGCTCGAACTCGAGTATATAATTCAAAAAAATCTTTGTTCGATAACAACCCTGGGCTAAATTTGGTATGTATAGCAAAAACAAATTACGGCTGCTTAGCCCACCCCATCTCTCGATCCTGGATCCGCCTCTGCATACGGATCAGTATGTAAATCTCTCACATATTTTAAACATATGACTAATAAATTAAAAATGCCTCTGTTCGATTTTTCTATGAAAAAAAATTCATTCTAAAAGTGATCCAAAACCAATTGCCTTTAAGATTCATAAGCAAATTTCTTCAACGTTCCAGAAAAGCTTAATAACATGCTAAGTGACAACGGTTTTCATCCTAAAAGGTAAGGAGAAGCATACTATATACTAGTATGTCTTAATATATCATTTTATTACTTTATCAATTTTCAACGTGGGACTTCGATAGTCTCATTATTTATTTGAGTCAGCTCAGCTTGCTTGAATTCAAACAAAGATAAATGACTCTTGATTTTAGGCAGTTCAAATCCCAATCTGAAACGCCAATATCCAAACATAGCCAAAAAGGTTCACTAAAGAAGGAAAACGTCATTTTGTTGCCTGTTATATTTTCAGCGGGAAATCAAAGAAGCTAGCAGGATGATTGGATGGAAATGAGTCAAAGGACTAAGAAAAATACGTATAATTTTCCATGTGTTTCATGTGTTTTAAGGGTCGGAGTGTACGACCTGTATTGTATGCACTTATAATTTGACACTTTTGGTCTCTCGAACCTTTACCATATTTGTCTTTTTTATGAATAGTTGTACATTTTGAGCATTTATTTTTTTGACTGAACTTCCTAATCTAATAGTGTATGTTCTATGTTAAGACTCACATCGGGATCGGGATGTATTTTGAACTTGTGACCTATTCATTTTTCATTTTGAATCCCATTAACTTTTTATTTTTCGGCTTAATATTTCTATGTATCAATTTTCTTTCTTTTCCTAGACTCATACTACTCTCTCCTAAAATGTGATAACGTAAAATTGTAGTCACTTCATTATTGTTTCTTAAAATACTTGTGCTCAATATTAGGCAAATGATCAAATAAAGTAATTTAGATAAAAAGAGAGGAAAGAGAAAATTTTAAAAAAGTAAACATAAAATGAAAGTAATTAAAGGGAGATGAATTGGGGGGGGGGAGAAATTGTGAAACTTGGCATGTAATGAGTAAAAGTGTAGTTAAAGGGAATAAATTATTTGCTAAAATGGAATGAGAATCTTTAAATGAGACACCCAAATAAGGAAAACACAACTTTTCAACAGGACGGAGTTTGTATATTTTAGAGATATCTGAATTAGAAAGAGAATATAGTAGTGTGTATGAATCTCATGTTTACAAGACCATTACTACCTCCTCCGTCCCAAAAAATACTTCTCACTTTGACTTGGCGCGCTTACTAAGAAAGTGAGAATAAAATGAAAAATGTATGGTTATGGTTGAGTAAGAAAAGTGTAAATGAATATTAGTCACACAAGACTTTCCAAAAATGATAAGTGAAAAGAATTTTTGAGACATCTAAAATGATAAGAGCGTCTCCAATGCTACATGTGCATGATGCACATGTGCCATGAGAGATAGTCACATAAATATTAGCAAATAAATTAGCGTTCTCCTTATTTCAATGATTTTGTACAATTTTGGTAAGGTTTTCTCTGCAATGTCAACAACAATGTCAACATCTAGACAGTCTTCTTGACATTGTCGAGAAAAACTTATCAAAACTGTATAAAACCATTCAAATAAGGAGAGATAATTTATATTTTAATATATATGTGGCTATTAATCATGCCACATGTGCACCAAGCACACTGTAGCATTAGAGATATTCTAAATTGGAAGAATTTTATGGGACGAAGAGATTATATGCATATGTATGCATAGAAGAGACTTAATAATAAGGACTAACTCAATTGAGGAAGCGGTCCAACCCAGCTGGTCGCCGACTCACTTACCCTTACGGGAGGTCTCGGGTTCGAAACTCAGTGGAGTGAGTTTCGACCCTGATTAAACTCAAGGAATACGTATGCCCAAATACATGGTCCCAGACGCCCCAATCTAGGATAATATACCCATCAATTTGTAAAACTAAAATGCATTTTGCACTTTGAAATGGAGAGAGTAGATTGTTACTATATTTATGGTCTCCGTTCACCTGCACATTTTTGCATATATTATTATATTATTTTATTGCTATTTTATATTTTCTGACAATGATGAGACTACATATTCAACGCAGCACAAGATTTTAATCGTTCACGCCTTCAAACTGCTGCCGGCGAACTGATAGTGTGAGAAAACTGTCGGCAAACCGATAGTGGGATAAAAAGGGTGGTGAGAGGTCCCCTCAATTCAAACCGGGCTGAACAACATCGAGTGGATAAATAGGTGAAATCAACTCTCTCCGTGCTACCCTTATTATGGGTGTTAAACAGTAATAAAACCACAACCGGATCTATCTTTGATACCACGTAAGACTTGGAGTGACACCCTAAAAGGTAAATATCATAGGAGGAGTAAACCAAATTTTTGATATAATATTATATTGTTTTATAGCAACCCGTTGTGGGACAAGTACTTCAATAGAAAAAGATAATTTTTAAAATATGTCCTTTCCACAATGGAGATTATAATGAGCGTACAAACAATTGTAAAATTTTATAGAGCCTAGGATCTTATATATCAATTCAAACAAAAACAATAAGATAATCCATCCGAATCATGTTATCATTCATTTGTATTTTTATGTTTGTTAAATCATCATTTTTTAATTTCGTAGGACGCCCACAACACGCTATATCAATTTATTTATTCCTTCAACAACTCATCTTTTACGGGTGCGAGAAAAGTACATCAACAAAATTAAAGAAAAATGCTATATATAAATATAAAATTGGAAAGTAAAGTTTAAATTAAGATACGTTCATACTTTTAGGACAAAATGTTCTAATGGGACAGATGGGAGTTGTGGCGCCGTAACTAGAAAAGTGAAAAGGTTTTAGATGAGAGTTACAAAAATAAATTGATATTTATGTAACAACATAAAAAAATTAGTAATTCTTTGCACAGCTTTTTAATACAAAAATAAAGTCATGTTTCAAATTTATGGTGCTTCAGGCGTAATAAGGCTCTAGATGAGAGTGATGGACAAACAAAAGAAAATGTTCATATTTACAATAGGAAAATGCTCTTTTAGTACTTTCCATCCAAATTAGGAAAATCCCAGAGAACATATATTCAAGGGTTAAGAAGAGTGAGTAGTCAGTCATTCATTGTGGTTTCTTGAATTTGCACCCCACTCTATAGCCTCTGCAACTGCTTTCTGGCGTTCTTCTGCGGATACTCCATTGTCATGATTCTCATTCTCTGACCGAGGCTCCACCGGAGAATCGTCTGATCCACTTTGCAGCCCTTCTGTAAGATGACTCAAAGCATTTACTACATCTGTCATCAATGGCCTTACTTCAGGATCTTCTTCCAGGCACATTGAAGCTATTGCAGCCACCTGCCTAAAACTCTTCTTTGGTATGTTTCCTTTTAAAGGTGGATCAAGAAGTTCAAATATCCTGTTATGGTCTCTAAACAAAGGCTCCGCCTGTAAACGTATTAAGAGCATATTAACATGTTAGCTAGCTAGGATAGAAAGATTCCACATTACAAACATAATAGTTGAAGGTCTTCTAGTCCTTGAACTATAGTGTAACTTTTTTCGTTTCAGTATTTAACATACTCATTTGTTGCTTTACGTCGAGTATAATAATTTTTCAGTCTCGTTCAACCCAAATTTTTATGTGTGACACTCATGTATAAATGTTACTGATCTAAAACCAGAAAAGTTCAAGTATTGGATCCAAAAGTATATACGCCTTAATAGTCCAAAGATTAGAAGTGAAAAACTTCAAATACAAGCACAAAAAATGGCATTGATAGAATAGTTGAATTATAAAAAATGACAAGAACTCCAAACTTACCCAAGCAACCAACAATTGCTCATGACCTTTTCTCATAGGATCTACTGCTCTCTTTCCTGTGATTAACTCCAACAAAACAACACCAAAGCTATAAACATCCGACTTGACACTTAGATGACCCGTTCTTTGATACTCAGGAGCACAATAACCATATGTTCCCATTATTCTTGAAGAAACATGAGAGTTATCTCCTACAGGTCCAACCTTAGCCAACCCGAAATCAGAAAGCTTTCCATTGAACTCCTTGTCTAGTAATATGTTTGAAGACTTCAAATCGCGATAAATCACCGGCGGGTTAGCCTTTTCGTGCAAATATTCCAGGCCTCTGGCTGCGTGTAACGCAATTTTCATCCTCTTTGACCAATCCAATACAGCTTGGTTTGGATGAAGATCTGAAGAAATGCAACATATTAGGACTTGTTCGATATCACTGCCAATTTTCAACTCTTTATTAGGGTTGATGATTTTAAAAGGTATCTGATACATGTTATCAAATGAACTAACACATAATCACACTTACAGTTATAACGTTAGTATGACAAATGCTAACAAAATTTTGTAAAGCAATCTTTCTAGTTTTCAGATTCTTTTATTTAGTCTTCCTAAAAACAGACGATAAAAAACAGAAAACGAAGCCAAACCAGACTACAGTTTGTAATTCTTAGTATCCAAATTTAACAAGAGAATAAAGCAAGAGATTCAATTGAAATGGGCTAATTTGAGTACCAAGTAAATGGTCTTCAAGACAGCCCAGGGGCATGTACTCATATACCAGAAGTCTTTGGTCTCCATCAGCACAATACCCGATTAAGCTCACGAGGTTCGGATGGTGTAGAAGGCTCAACATGAACACCTCAACCAGAAACTCTTTGTTTCCTTGCATCCCATTCCGGTCCAGTTGTTTGACTGCTACAATCTGACATTGTTAAGATGTAATGATGTAACAACATAAATAATAAGAACCCGTTTGCTAATACTAAGATAAAATGAGTTGAAGCCTTTGAAACACTAATGTTATGGCTGAAACTGCTGAATTTTTATATATTTAAAATAAATACATAAAAAAAGAGTAGTTTATTGAAAAAGTTGAGAGAGAAAAGCTAAAATGGTTCTCTAACCAATGTAGTTAGAAAGTCTATATCAAACCTTACCTTCTTCATTATTAATCAATTCAAGCTTAAGCTTTTACTACTTAAGATCACACACACCATTTGACCTACTACATTAGCCAACCAGTACCTGGCCAGTTGTCTCCAAGCGACCTTTGTAAACGCGGCCAAATCCGCCTTCACCAATCAGGCATTCTTGCCGGAAGTTCTTGGTGGCAGCTGCCAGCTCTCTGAAGGTAAATGTTTGGGCTGCAATATTGGTGCCGCTTTTCGGATTTGTCGCTTCTCCAGTAGGCTTCTTTTTGCTCTCTACAATTCAAAAAGAAAAAGTTAATACCTCTTTGTAATCAGAAAGGTAAAGTGAAACTAAAAGTTTCTATCTTGACAAAGACGTTATATGTTAGTTTGTATTTATATAGAGAGAATTATATCTAGGCCAACCAACCAGGCTTGGTTTGATGACGATCATCTGGGAGGGGAATATCATTTCTTTTGCTGCTAAGCCTCTTGGAAGCCTTCCTTTGATCATGAGAAGTAAAACATGAAAAACAGCTCATGCTTTTCGCCGAAATCAATATATATTATGAACTTTCCAATAAGGTTAATTATGGCGTAGCTGCTGATTTAATGCATAATCTGATCAATGATCAAATATTGCCGTTGTTTTAATAATGCAGCCAACCAACCAAACCTCTGTTTCGATTTCAAGCAGGTAATGCTTTAATGAAACTGAAACCTTATGAATCAAAAAATCTAATGTGGGTGGTAAAGCCACCATGAAATAATAATTAGAAAGAATAATAAAGATATGAATTATGAATCAAAACTCAAATGTTGGTGGGATAAATTGTATGTTTGATCGAAAAACAAGGATAAGATTCAGCATTTACTTTATCTATTTGATGAAACCATGGTGAGATAAGAAGGGAGAAATAAAGAGAGGAAACAAAAAAAAAGTTTGATCTATTGTTGTTTGTGTATTTCCCGCAGAAAATGGAACATTGGGGAAGAAAGATTTTGTAATTATCATAGATAAAGGATCATTTTTATTTATAAAAAAAACACGGAGAATATGTTTTTTTGATTTCTACAATTTTGAATTGGTGGTTGCTTATTTTTTCTTAAGGGGTTGTCGTTTGTATATAACTCCCCACTAAATTTTAAATATTTCTAAACATGACCAAATATGTTAGTGATAGTAGGGGTGGACTCGGGTCGGGCCAACCGGCCCGGAACCGGCCCGGCCCGCCACTGTGCGGGCCCGGATCGGCCCGGTGAACCAGTTGGTTGGCCGGTTCGGGCCACCCGGCCCGGTGGATTCTCGGTTCGGACTCGGGCCCTTCAAAAGGTGAATCGGCCCGACCGGTTCGGGCCCGGACCGGGCCAATTTTTTATTTATTTTTTTTTGAATTTTTTTTAAGTTTTTGGGTTGGACTGGGTATTTTGGGCCATTTGAGGTGGTTTGGGGGTGAGGGGGAGGGTTGTGGGTTAAATAGGAAAAGCCCAAAAAAAATATAACCGAGGCCCGGCCCGGCCCGGACACGGGGATTACCCGGGCCGGTTCCGGGCCTACCATACCTTGAATCGAGGCCCGGCCGGTTCAAGGCCCGAACCGGGTCCATCCCCAGTGATAGTAACATCGCTCCATACGGTAGAGATTTTTTCCCGACAACTTTTCTAAAGCCTGAAATGTAGAATGATTATTAGATTATAAGCTATGGGCGGTCAGCGGTCGCAAATAAATAGTTGATGTGAAACAAGAAAAGAGATGAAGATAAATTTGGTGACAGTGTGATACTAGGAATAACCTTTTAAATTTTAATCATTGCTTCCAGTTTGATTTGTTTTTTTTTTGTCAACGACACATTATTATTATTATTATTATTATTATTATTATTATTATTATTATTATTATTATTACTACTACTTGGAGAAACGACACATTATTAATAGTATTATTATTATTCTATGAAGTCTAATGAAGATGAGATATATATTAACTCCAAAATTATTATTCTGTACTTTTTATTGATGTTTTATAAAGTGAGCTACAAAAAAATAACTCTTCAATTCCGTATCTGATGCAACGATAAATTCACTCTACAATAATTACATTTAACGTCAGAAGAGGTTATATGGACAGAATTAAGGTCATTAGAACAAATTTTCATTAATTTTAAAATGAAAGATACTTTGAGACAGTAAGAAATAGAAACAACATTTAACTTGGGAGTTGGGACAGAAAGAGTAGCAAACAGGGCCATTAAAAAAACATACTATCGTTGCATGGGAAGCTAAATACGAAGTAATTACGGGGTACATTCTTTTAGAAAATTGCGATTTTTTCCAATCATCATCGAATTATAATGACATGCCTTAACGTAAAAAAGAAAGTCATTATGTGGAATGCAACTAAAAAACAAGTATATAACACCTTAACATATCATTGCATATGAAGCAAAGCATATCATGCACTAAATAACACCTTAACATATCATTGATTCTGCTAGTGAGTATAAACGTTTGTACAAGCTCAAGTGTAATGAAGAGAAAGGCCCGTCGATTGCTATTGAATCCGGTAGGATCTTCATATTCTCCGACTTCGAAATTCTCTCCTTGAAGGTCACTAGGCCAGTCATTAGTAGGACGTGAAGGCTCATCATCATTTACTAGTTTTGATTCAGCTGGTGTCTGGTGATGTGGTTTTAGAATCAGAAGCTCTCTGGAGATTAAGATAATTACACACTTGCACCGTAAGAATTAGGGGGTGCAGATCATCATAATGATGAGTATCACAATTGCTCAAATTTCATTTGGATAAAATAAAAAATTGTGTTTCTCAATCCTTTATAAATTCAATGAAAAGATATACTCCGTATTGATTAAATTTTCATTCCATGTAGTACGAAAAATGGAGTAAAGGCCATTGTGGCATTCCCTCTACTTCCAACTAGGTGGCATGTCAAAGAAAAGCAATACCTACTGATAATAGAGAAGAAGAAGATGGACAAGAAGAAAACTTTCACGTTTTATAACAAATACACATTCAATTTATCATTTAATTAGATACATGTGAAATATTGGAACCAAGGATAGAAGTATCAAGAAAAGCACCTGATGAAACAAGAATTACTAACAGACACCATTTCTACGTATACATCCACCTTGCCCAACTTTCTGATAATCTGCAAAGTGCCTTCATCCAATCATCCCCATCCAACAAATGAAGCATTGAACAAATAAGATTCTGATCATATCAGGTAAAACCCATTTAATGAGTGATCGTGCAATGTGAAATTCATGCTGCCAACTTAGATATTTGAATGGAGAACATCTAAAGAATGAGCATAGAATGTTTTTTCATTTTTTCATAAAGTAAAGAACATAAATGACATATCTACTCTAGCTATAAAAGCAAAGATCTGTTTGTACACGTTTTGTGTACACTTTTTTTGTACACCCTCTATTTTATTTGTCTAAAAAATGAAGAAATTTTGAGAATTGTCAATTGCGTGAAACGTGTAAAAAAAATATGTACACCAAGCAAATCCCTAAAGGTAAAGTCGTAAAGATAAGAGAGAGTAATGCATGCAAACTCAATCAAAGTAAAAAATATATAAATACCAGTTTGGAATGGCCCTTGTTCTCTTCATGGTGAATGACATAAATGCTGGCTTTTACCCTCACCTAACCACAAATGGAAAGAATCGAATGAGATGTTTTTACAGGATTCTCACGAATAAGTAAAGCTGTGATAGCTTCCTGATTTCGACAGTAAACATTTTACCCACCTGATTTCAACATAAAACAAATATAATAAATGACTATCCAATCTAAAATGAACCATATAATACAATGGAACATTTACGCAGCCTCGGAGAGCAAGTTGCTTCTTGCGATCACCGCACTTGCATTGGAGACACCATCAACTTAATCCCCTCTTTCAAAAACCGCAGCAGCACCCATCCCTGAACCTGCAACTCAAAAATGATTGACAGAGAGGGGTAAGGGTTGATTGGCAATGAAAAAAATGCCCCTCACTCTACTAGGGGTACACACGTTCCAGAACAGAGTGGGTAAATCACCGGGATTGGAACGGAACAGTTACTTGGTACTAGACAACCCGGGAACGGTTATGGTTCCTCTAGAATAGGACGGTACCGGTTCTGATACCAGTCCCAGATTTTCTAATAGGGTATAAACTGGACCAGAACTGGACTGATCCAGAATTCTGGTCCCAGCCTGGTAGGTAGGGTGTTGAGCGGGAATTGGCTCGGGTCCATTCTACTCTCAACTAGACTGGTTTAAAAATGTATGCAGTCACTATGAATTACCTATGCACATTGATATAACACCAAATCGACAACCTCTTCCGCGACGCTTCATCTCATGGAGTAATGTAGCAACACAACGTGCACCTGACATAATATTATAACACCATTTGTGGAAAACAGTTGACTTCAGTTCAAACAAAATATGACTCATGTACAGACTCATTGAGTGGGTATTGTTACCTGTTGCTCACAAAGGGTGGCCAAGAGCAATTGCACCTCCATTGACATTCACCTTCTCAGGATCCAGATTCAGCTTCTTTTGACAATATACATATTCAGATGCAAATGTCTACAAAGAAACACTTGAGTGGTAAATCAAAGATTGAGAAAAGTAGATAAACAATGAAATGTTTTGAGATATTCAAAAAAAGTACCTCGTTGATTTCAAATAAACCAATATCAATCAGTTCCAGACCAGCAGATTTTACGGCAGCTGGAATTGCTACAGCTGGGCCTATTCCCATAACAGCAGGATCCACTCCTACCGCAGCAAAACTCCTGATTTTTGTTTTGTTTTCAAATTAGTACAACTAATATTCATTTTTGAAAACCATATAATTTCCCCCCTTCACACTGTCGCATGGATTTTATTTTCCAATAATCATGAACTATATCTACAAACATATAATTAGTTCCATTAATTTTTTAATATTACAGAATAGGTTTTAGATCACTGTCTGCGCTTCTTTGTTATGGAGCAACAGTCAGTCCATGCAATTTTGGACGCGATTTTCACTATGGGTCATCCGGAAACAGTCTCTCTGTGCTTTAGTGCAGGGGTAAGACTGCGTACATCCGACCCCCCTTACCCCACCGTAGGTGGGAGCCTTTGCGGCACTGGGGTAAATGAAAATGAAATGAAAATGACAGAATAGGTAAATTAATTTTTGTAAATGATCATGAACCTGAGAAATTAGTATACGTGCATATTTCCATTATGTTTGTAAATTAATTTATACAATTTTTATGCTACCTTATGAGATGTCATTTAAGGTCTTATCATTTTAAAGCTCTATTCAAGAGACAACAATAACCTGAATATTTGTGTTAATAAGAAATTGACTTCCAGAGAGATTTTCTGCAAGCATAAATAATTGAGTTGCTATATTACCTGAAACTGAGAATTCGATGGAAAATAACACAAATTTAATTTGCAACAAATTAGTAAACGAAACACAAAACTCAATCAAAAGTTTCACAATTCCCTTATAGAGAATATCTCACCTCATGAACAACAAATTCAGTAAACCTTGCTAGAAGAACACTTCAAAGCTTTTGCTCCATAGTAGTCATTCTTCGTGGGACACAGCTGATGAATGTGGCAACCAGTTAATCAAAGAAGTATAAGAAACTTCATCTGGGCCCAGTCCAGCATGAAACATATCATCAACCAATCCAAAAACGGATTCAATATTCCCTTCCTTGTAAAACCCCTTTGATAAAGCATTATAAGTGACAGTATCTGGAGATATTCCCTTTTTTACCATCTCGGCAAAATACATTGTAGCTTCCTTAGTCTTGCCAGATCTACCATATCCATCTATAATTAGGGTGTAAGTGATCTTATTAGCCTGTATATCTGAAGAATGCATTTCCTCCAAGATACTTCTAACTTCATCCATCAACCCCATCTTACAGAAACCACCTATTAGTGCAGTGTAACAAATAACATCTGGCAAAACCCCTTCCTTCCTCATATCATCAATGAGACGTCTTGCTTCATCAAGTTGACTGACATTGCACATTCCATGAATAAGGGAAGAATAGGTGACAGCTGTTGACTGATAATTATTACTTCTCATCTCACGAGAAAGCTCAAGTGCTTCTGTCAAATGTCCATCTCTGCTATAAGCCCAGATAAGCATATTATAAACAACAGAATTTGGTGGGATTCCCTTCTTGATCATTTCTTCGAAAAAATACCTACCCTTCTCAACCAGTCCGGATTTACATAGCCCATTAATCAGGACACCATATGTATGAACATCGCATACAAGACCCTTGTTGTTCAGGCATTCATTCCAAAGCACCAAGGCTTCATCTGTCTTATGCATAGTGAAAAGTGCATGGAGAAGTAAATTGAATGTGGAAATGTCTGGGAAAATTCTTTGGCTAATCATATCGTCTCTCAACTTGAAGGCAATGTCCAAATCTCCCTCTTTGCAACATGCACATATTAGTGTATTATATGTAATCACATCAACTGGCAAGTGTCTCTCTAACATCACTTTAAGAAGCAAAAATGCCTTTTGCTTGTTACCGGATTCACAAAGGCAATGAATGAGGGCATTTGATGTCACAGTATTAGGCACGAGCCCCCTATTTAGAAGAAAAAACCAAAGGTCGACTGCATCAGAATGTTTTCTAAGATCCTTGCAAAGGCCACCAACCAATGTGGTCAATAAGCCATCGTTTGGCTTTAAATTTCTTAATACCATTTCCCTAGTAAGGTGTAATGCAGATTCAAATCTTGAATTTGAGCAAAGAGTAGAAATAAGCAATGTAAATGAAGCAAGATTAACAGAAAGACCCTTTGACAACATATTCTCTAAGAGAAGTTCAGCTTTGTCGATTTGACCCTTGTTACAGAACCCTTTTATTAAGGTGTTACAAGTGACTGAATTTGGTACCAACCCTTGCCTGACCATTTCATCTTTCATCCTAAGTGCATCATCAAGGTTTCCCATTTTGCAATATCCATCAATCATTGTATTAAAGATGACCTCATTTGGAAACAGGCCATTCTCATACAATTCATGCAAAAGGTTACATGCCTCATAGTACTTCTCAAGTTTCATAAGACAATTAATAAGTATACCATATGTTACTAAACTTGCTTTGCCACCATTGCGTATCATTTCTTCTTTTAGTTTAAAAGCCTCCTCCAATTCCCCATTCTTGCAAAGCCCGTTGATAAGGTTGTTATAAACAAAAACATTGGGAGTAACACCGATTTCCCCCATCTTTACAAACAATTGCTTTGCTTCCTCGACCTTCCCTCCTTTACACAAAGCATTTATGGCAATGCTGAAAAAGTATACGTCAGGAATAACACGCTGGATCAAGGTATCTAATACCTGGTAGCTTTTGTGAAGCTCGTTAGCCTTTACAAGAGAGTTCAACAGAAAACTACAAGTCTTTATTGAAGGAAAGAAACCATTACCTGCAAAAATCTGAAAGGCATCTAATGCTATACTAAACCCAGCATTCTTGAATTGGGTACAACAAACATGAAGAAATAAATCATATATCCCAACAGTGTTACACAATGCTGGAACACCGCTTAAATCCACTAATGTGATGGCAATCTCAACGTGTTTTTTATCAGGGTTAGCAAACAAGGTAGGTAACTTCCCATCCATTAATCTTATCAGAAGCAACCGAGCAGGCATTTCCAAGTTGGAAGCAACAAGCAAGCGAAGCAAGTTGCAATAGGATTTCACACTGAACTGAAAACCACAAGAACTTGAGGCAATGTAGAAGAATTTGAGAGTAGTTGAGGGGATTAGAGAGGAAGGAGATAGACCGGAGAACAAGACATCAAACTGAGAAGGAGTCAACTGCCTTATAAGCTGTTTACAATCAGAGTATTCCAAATGGGGCCTCGATAGCAGGGATGTTAGCCACCGCCGGTCCAACACTGGCTGTTGTCCAGGTGGCGGTGGCGGTTTAGGATTAACTGCTCTCCTCGGCCTTGATGATGACAGTGCCTGAGCAGGGGAGTCTGAGGAAGCTGTGGAGATGACGCAAGCTAAGGGACGTTTCGTGGGAAACAACAATGCAGTGGCTTTGGGAATTCGAATTCGTCTTATGTCCATCTTGTGATCGTTAAGGATAGTTCGTCGACGGGAATCTCCTCTTCCACCATCAAGGTTTGAGAGAACAATCCAAACTCATCTTTCTACAGCCTCTGTCAGGGCCGGTCCTGAGAAAATGGAGACCCTGTGCAACAAATAAAAATTGGGCCCTTTTCAAGTTCCAAGTAAGTAATTTGTATTAAAATACAAGTTACTAATGAACACAATAACATAAATAAAAGTAGTCATTAATAAAATACTTTCATTTTAAAAGACACATTTTTCTGGCTTATTTAGAGGCAAAGTCATCTGCCAAATACAATTATTGAAATTCTCTTGTACATGTATAAAAAATCTATATTCTCAATTATTAAAAATCTTAATTAAAAATCTTAATTATTAAAAAGTTACGTAATAACATATTTACACCAATTTCTTAAATCTTAATTGAATAATTGTTAAACACGCTTATTCTCAATTGCAAATAGGCACAACAATTAGGCAACAAGTAGGATAACAACATGAACAAACTAATTTCACTAATTGCAATTCAAAGAATCAAAGAAATAAAAAAAATATAGAACTTACGTCCCAGGGAAGGTGGACTGTCGGACTGGTAGGGTGTCGTGCACCCGTTTGGACGGACGGTGCGCTCGTGATTTTAAAGGCTTGAGAAGGGACGTGGTTGCGCGGTGGCAGGCTGGAGGGCGTCGCTAGCTCGCTGTGAGGCGTCGGAGCTCGCAAGGGAGGATCCAGAAAGTCCCAATGGGGTGGGCTGGAAAAAAATTGAAATACACATACATAATGATAAGTCAAATCGTCAACACTTTAAATATTCATCAAAACATCATTTAAGTTGTGCCCTACGTGACTTCAAAGTATAAAATTCATCAATAATAGAATCTACATCTATATTATTGACAGTCTCATTCAATGTAGATCATCAATAAATCGTAGGTATAGGTTCAGAACTCCCTTCACCAGTTTCACGATTCACTTTCGGAAAGAATGATGAAATCAACTTCTTCCCTTTCTTGGCAATGTGTTCATTATTCATTCTAAAAAACATTTCCAATATTGGTATAAATTAAAATACTTATATAAAAAAATATACTTCGTAACTAATAAGGAAAAAACAAACATTGTACACTTGTACATAAAAGTAATAAGTATTCTCAATTTTCAATTGTATAATAACTAAATCATTTTCTACTCTTTAATTCTATCTTTAATCATTCTAAATTTATAATGAATTAATCACTATTTAATTATGTACCGAAAAATTCAATTAATAATCATGATGATTCCCTAATCCTAAAACTCTAAAATGCTAAAAATAATACTCCGTAATAGATTAATACACAAATACACAATAACTTATAACACATTCAAGTCGGCAATTGGAGTTTAGAAATAGAATTTGGAGAATAACACATTCACAATCTAACAACAAGAAAAAATCTAAAATCTAAAACAGAAATAGAATTTGGAGAATTGGAGACTTGGAGTTTACCTGGAGGGAGGCGCAGAGCCGCATAGGGCCAGAGGCGGACAGGGACAGGCAGACAGCGGTGGGCGGACGGCGGACGACGTAGGCGGCGCGGCTAATGTTCACGCAGGTTCACAACTCCTTCATCCTCGATTCCTCGTGGCAGGCTCCTTCGCAGACCGCAGTTCGCACTTCGCAGGTCTTCAAAGTTCAATCGTTCTCAACTCTCTAATTTGCGTAAGTCAGTAGACCGAGAAGCGCAAGTAAGGCTGAGCGCAAGTAAGGCTGAGATGTGGGCTGGAGCGCTGGGCTGGGAGTTAAAAACGGGCTGGGCTGAGAATTAATAATTTTGAGGTAGGCTCAGAATATAATATATACCTATACTAACTAAAAACAATTGGGCTGGCCTGAAGCCCACCCCTGTCCTTAAAGTACATCCGCCCCTCGCCGAGCTCGTCTTCTAGTCTTCCGCACTCCGCAATTCAGAGTTCATTCGTAGCTCTGTTTTTCCTATTCGCAGGTCATAGCAAAAAACCTGGGCTAAGTAATACTACTACTAATTTTTTTTATTTTTGGGTCGGCCCTGGCCTCTATCACAAAGGGAATCCCCAAAAGCGTGGAGAAAGGTTGAGTACTATTGAACTAATCCCGTATGATATCCAAGAAGAGAATATGCAAATAACCTCATATCGAGTTATCAAACTCTTCCAAAATTTTGGGGGGAATCGAGTTAACCACAAATATTGGATGTCAATCTGTGCTTTCTGTCATGCTGGCAAAAGCATTATATAGCTCACTGATTGAGCTGCCGTGTGGTTTAGCAAGAGAGAGTCGTGGGATCCTAAACTCGATTGATTTATCAAACCATGGCAATACAAGCTTGGAGAAGAAGTTGAATTCGTCGTCGGGAAATTCGCACGAATGAGAACTGCCGATCTACCTCAAGACGGCCAAAAGAAAAAATTCTTGGAGCTGAATCCTATTAAACTTACCAGTTGATCACTTGAGCCTAAAATGAGTCGGATTTAGGGATTCATCTCAATTTTCCAAAATTTTCCAAAGAATATTTTGTATTCTGCATTTTGTACCTTAACTATAGCAATATTATCAATAATTAAAATATTTTGTATCGTTTTATATGATACATTTTCCTTTTGAATTGTCTCAAGAATATAAACATAAACCCTTTAAGTTGAATATCATTAACTTTTTACTATCTCACTTTATTTCTTATCTATGATTTCACATTTACTTTTATGGATCCATTGGATCATTGAATAAGGTTATTTAATTAGAGTGATGTTCTCCATTAATGAGAGCAAGTTGGCCCTGAGATGATCATTGCTTGCGTGTGATTCCCTCTAGCATAGTTGATCGGCATAAGCCCATTCTTTTTACTTGGACTATAATTCCTCTCAGACCAGACCAGATCAGACCAGACTTGGATAGTTATAAAAATACAAGGAAACCAGACCATCCAGACCAGACCAGATAAGACCAGACCAGACCAGCAAATTACAGTCCAAGTAAAAACATCCTTAGTTGCTCAGTTGACCGCCTAGAATTGAATTAGTATCTCCGACAAAAGCCTTCTTAAATCTTGGGGATTACGTAACACGCTTCCATGAATGATAAGAATATCAAAATGACCATTTACAGAATATGAGATTATAATAAAGAGATTGAGACAATATAGATGATGAATATGAAAAGACTAAAGATGTGGAGGTGTAGTAAAAATAAAATAATGAACGGCGATGAATTTGCTCTAAGCTCTTGGAAGCCACTTAGGGGTGAGCAAATAACCGATTTAACCGATCTGACCGAAAACCGATGACCGAACCGACCGAAAAAATTGGTTTTCGGTCGGTTTTCGGTTATAATAAAATAAAAAGAATCGATTATTCGGTTATTCGGTTTTTACTCGGTTATATTTATTGGGTATCGGTCGGTCACCGATAACCGTCCAAAATATATAAGTATATATACTCCATAGTAGAGTAGTCTTCCTGTCCGGAATTCCGGACAGGAACTGCCGTCCGACAGATGAATTTTGGGGCTCTTCCCGGTGGAGTTTTTTGTTGAAATTTTTATGGCATGTTCTTCATTAAATCTAGTTTATCCAAAAAAAAATCAGCTAAATATTCCATCGGGAAGGTCGTCAAATGATTTTTGGAAGTTAACTGCGCTAAAAAATACATATAAAACGCAGTTAACTTCCAAAAATCATTGGACGAGCTTCCCGATGGAGTTGTTTGCTCAAATTTGGTATGGATGAAATAGACTTGATGAAGAACATGAAATAAAAATTTCATCAAAAAATTCCACCGGCCGATTATGGTCGGTTATTCGGTTACCGACCGAAACCGAATGACATTTTTCGGTCGGTTTTTGTAATGTTGTCGGTCGATTTTCGATCGGTTATTTGAGTAAAAAATATTGGTCGGTTATTCGGTTATCGGTCGGTTATTTGACCGACCGACCGAATGCTCACCCCTAAAGCCACTGATGACAGCAGGGATGTGTGGACATTGTTGACGAGAACAAAAAAACAGGTTCATTACGGAAGAATTGGACTCCCACGATAAGCGAGAAAGAGAAGACAACAGAAAAAGGAAAAGAAAAAATAGTTATCATGCAAGCCACTAATCCACTATGTGTGCAAGTGATCAGAAAACCATTTGTTCTATGAATTTGCTCGATTGAACATTTTTTGTAGTAATTGAACGTTTTTCTAAAAGCGAAATGTTTAATCGGGTGTTTCAAAATACGGAATTCCTTATGTAATAATTAAAAGAATAAAAACATATTTCTATATCTATCAGTGGAATATGTGACAAAAAAAAGTCTAGCCATGGGGATATTCAATATTGGTCGAACATTTCAATATCATCATTCATCACTGGCCTTCTGCTCGTCAGTGGGTTAGGACTTCGGAGTTCGGACAGCCTTGGCCGAAGGTCTAGTATAGAAGCACAAAAGAATATATGCCTGCATGGATGCCTTTGGCCAGCCATCCATTGTTTTCTATCTTTACAATAATACTAGCATGATACCTCTCAAAAAACTAAGGATGTTTTTATTTGGATAGAAATTCGCTTCATAAAACTAAGAATGTTTTTATATGAATAGAAATTCACTAATACTAGCCACCCTCCTCCGCGTCGGCGTCGTGGCTCTTTGGAATTACTTCCTCCACATCGTCGTCATCGAGCTCTTCTTCGTCAATGGTCCTCGGGTGGTCTTGAAAAAAGCGGCTATTATGTCGGTGCAATTCTAGTTCTAGTTGTTCATCGGTCATCACATCTCCATCCCTCCTTGCGTAACTCGTATCAAAATCATCTCGGCTTTGAGATGAAGAGCCGATATGTGATTTACGTTTGCGTGATCTCTTCCTCGCAAGCTCGTTCGTTCGGTTGCGATCAAGGTTACCCATATCAACTGAATATCTACCACCTTCCATCTTAAAATGTAATATAAGTAATATAATATATGTATTTATAAGTAAATAATTAATATATAAGTAGATAAGAAATATAAGTAATATAAATATATGTATTTATAAGTAGATAAATAATAGGGAGAACTATCAAATAAGCCCTCGAACTTTCATAAAAAGTGCAAATAAGCCCTTTTACAGGAGGTTTTATCCGACTGTCGCCATTTGGGCGGTTTACGGTGGAATTTTTTGATGAAATTTTTTGAGAATCTTATTCATTAAGTTTAGTTTACCCATACCAAATTTCAGCTAAAAATTCAATCGAGAAGGCAGTCAAATGTTTTTTTGAAACATATTGCGCTATCTAACTACGCAGTTATCTTCAAAAATTCATTTGACAGCCTTTCCGATTGAATTTTTAGCTGAAATTTGGTTTGAATAGACTAAACTTAATGAAGAAGATACTAAAAAAATTTCATCAAAAAATGCCACCGGAATTCAAACCAAATTTCGAGGGCCCGTCCGACCCGCCCAAACGGGCTAAAAGCCCGGAACTGGCCAACCGGTCCCGGTCCGGTCCGGGCCCGCACAGTAGCGGGCCGGGCCGATTCCGGGTCAGGCCGGCCCGGTTTAGTCCATCCCTAGTTGGACCCGGACCCAGGCCCGACCCGGCCGGGCCGGGTCACCTTTTGCCGGAACCGAGTCCGCCCCGCCCTTCCCCCCCGGTTCGGGTCTACACCCGATCCCGGGCCGGTCCCGGACCGCCAGACCGGGCCGGGCCAGGTCACGGGCCGGGTGGCCCGTACCGAATCCACCCCTACATATATCCGGTTCACTAGCAGAGGTGACGCACTCATTCGTGAATCAATGTATAAAGCAGCAAGTTCGTGTATTTTTTTATGATCCGGGTGTCGGTGCTTGAACTACCTAATTCTGGAGTCTATGAACTACCCTCCAAAGCCCCTAGATAGGTAAATCCTGGAGTCTATGAACTACCCCAGACAGGTAAACCCTCGTGAATCATTGTGTTCCCCTAATCCTGGAGTTTATTAACTACCATCCAAAGCCCCTAGACAGGTAAATCCGAATCTGATCACGGACAGCCTCATCAGTACAGGCTCCAAACGACGAATCCAGCAAGGCTTACATTACCATTCAGACCGCTCCTTCTACCACACGAACCTGCTACCTTTATTACTATCCTCTCCTTTCTCAGCCGCTGAGCAGCTCCGTGAAGTAGGAAGAATCATTGGGAGCAAGACCCCCCTCCTCTCCCCTAAATGTGCCTAGCGGGATTCGAACCCGAGACCTCCGCTAGGACACGGTAACCTCCCATCCAGTGAGCTGGAAATCTGGAATGGTTGGTTTCGTGTATTTTTCTCATCCATGCAAACGATGTCACAAATTCATAATGTGCCAGATGGCTGGCATGAGAACACCACATGAAATTGGCTTTTGGACAGAATTATTAGAAAAAGGTTGCATGCTTTATTGCTTTGGATTGCTCCATGTGAGTAGCCAAAAACGCCTTTACAGTATTAAAAAATGTATTGAACATTTGAACTCATTAAACAGAATACAGTGGTCAATATTGATATGAATTTCCTATGACTATTAGCCAGGCAAAAAAAAAAATGAGATGCCCCATTCTCTTACTTCCATCTGAGGGATTGCCTTATACCGGTGTAGATAAGACCTAGAGATCGCCCAATCAAGGAAACTAGAAAGAATGAAATCGCACCGCTGATCTTGGCAATGAACGTCCTTATCAAGGGCATGGCGATATCAGACAACTCAAGGAAAAGACTGAAGTAATATCTCCTGAAACACATATCAGAAAGCATGAAAAGACTGTCAAGTAATTTGTCTCCTGTAACTCATGGCTTGTTCTTGCACATTTCAGTTCTTTCATAGTTACACATCAGCCAAAGTACAGCTTCGCTACTCTCTCCTCTAACAAAGAAGTCATGTTTGGTTAAGGTACAAGTGTACGACTTTTTAACTTGGACAAGGTAAAACTGTAAACCGTCGTGATGAAACCCTACTTATAATTAACTTTTTTTGTAACTCTTTTAGCTAATTACAACAAAATTAGCTTCTTTTAATGAAACATGACTCTTTTGTCGGGAGCAAAAAATCTTAGAAAACATTACTCCATTTTTTGGTACAGAAAGCGTACTACTACGTAGTAAATAGGGGTTCTTCTTCCCAGTGGTAGTAAAGATTTTTAGATTCTGATAAATACATAAAATGAATAAAAGATTTTGGGGAGGGGATTCTGCATACCACCCGCTTAAGGACCTCAGTTCTTTGGTGCGCTTAGCAGCTATAGATATTTGGTTGATGATGGCAACTCGAAAGGGAGATGATACAGTTCCTGACTTCGTCATTATACCAAGTTTGTTCCACCACTGACGATTTTCGACTTTTTGTTTACCAGATTCCTCTAAGGCCCGGCATTCAAATGTGCTCAAGTCAAAGCGATCTTCATACATTGATACAACTGCTTCCATGTTCAGATGCAACCATTTGCGCATTGCCACCTGTTAAAAAGTTGCAATAAGGTTAGACATCATAAAACCCAAACCTAAGCATATAAACAATTGATATACTGCTCCCTAGCTCACATGATGAAAAATAATGACATTGCTATTTGGACACCAACACTTTTAGATGAGTTTACAGATGTTGCATCAAGGCATCAATAAACATAGACTGACCTCCATGATGCATTGAAGCGCCCAAAGGCATGAGTTTCCCTGTTCAGAAAACTCCACAACGCTTCCAAATGCTAGAAACTCCATATACACATTATGGGCTATTTTGGTCATTTAAAAAATGTGTTTATCTTGAATATGTACGTTTCAGTAACTCTGGCCAAATTCCATAAAGATAAACACTAAACTTCAGACTTTAAGTTTTACCATCTTAAGGGAGTGTTTTCCATTGCTTAAAAAAGTGTTTTTTAGCTTTTATCTTTAACAAAGTTAAAAATAGTATTTTCAAACAACCACTTCTACTTAAATGAAGCACTTTAAAGCTAACACTGGAGGGGTGCTTTAAATTCACTTTCATTTTTTCTATCACACAAAAAGTACTTTTTACCAAGCACTCTAACTTTTACTTTTTAAAATCACTTTTCTTCTCAAACACTTGCAACTTTTACTATTAATCACTTTTAGTATAATTTCTAAAACTGATCACTTCTCAAAAGTAGAAGCAAACGCCAACACTCCTTAACTACCTTCTTTGTTTCTCCTACAAATACTATAATGTAAAAAAGAGCATGGTTTCCTATAAAAAAAAGTTATGGTGCTTCGGAGCTTTGCTCTGGTATTCTAAGTTTCTGACGACTAGGATTTGACAAAACACTAGCCTTCTTCCTCAGAATTCTTCTCCTCTGTATGTGACTTTCTTGTCTTGTCTACACTTTTACTCTTCCATTTTGTGCTTGTTTGCTACTTTTTTTGTGGCATATTTTATCGGCTATATGACTTCAATTGTGTACTGTACTACTGTTGAATAGTTTGATGTTCTTGTTTTCTTATATTGAATTATTACCATAGTAGTCAATGGCTAGATATGGCGCGCGCCATATGCGCTATCGCCATGAAAAAGTGTTCGTCGCCATAGCGCCATATGCGCTTTATGCGCCATTCGTATATGCGCCATCGCCATGCGCCATGAAAAATGCCTTTGAGCCATGGCAATCGCCATGCGCCATGACTACTATGATTATTACGAATAGAAATGTATGAATCTATATGTAAAATATATTCACATGTTCCCCCTATTTCAGTATCCTACAGTATTTTTACTCCGTGCTACTTAGACTGGCCCAGTAGTTGCTTTTGAAAAAATGTTTACCTCATTCCGTAATCTCTGAAGTGCTCGGGTTGATAAAGTACACAGACTTAAACCAAGGCTGTTCATTTCATTTGCCACTTTACTATCAACTGAAATAAGCTCCAAATACATGCTTGCAGCACCTTCTGCCAATGTAATTACAAAATCTTCTAATATGGCCACACCATGCTCATTCATAAAACTCTGATCATAACAGGCTCCATCCCTGTTTTTATTTGGGGGAAAAGGAAGATTATCAACCTACATACACCTAGCCTAATGTATCTTTGGATCTAATACATGACGTAAGAAGAGGAGAGATGCCAGCAGAATTAGACTGATAGCAGATCTAATCCATGATATCTGGATTTGAAAAAAAAAATCCTCCCCAAACCTTTTTAAGATCAATGGGAAAAACTATTGATACTTTTTCCATTCAATCTTGTCCAACATTGGAGTAAGTGCTTAATTTGTTACTTCCTAACAGGTGGTAAGTCAATGAAGAGCATCTAACATGGGATAGAGACGCAGAAACCAAATGATCAACAATGAGAGAGAAAAAAACTTCAGCTTATACAGAAATACACGCTCATTTACTAATTTAATCATATCAGATTTAAATAATAGGACCAAGAATAGAGTAATCAAGAAAGGAACCTTCTGAAACCATAATTAGTGACAGACGCCAATTCTATGTATAGATCCTCCTTGCCCAACTTTCTGATAAGCTGCAAAATGCCTTCATCCTCATCCAACATATCAACCATTGAACAAATACGACTCTGATAATATCACGTAAAACCGCTCATGAATCATGGTGCAATTCAATTTAAATATTTTGAACGTATGACAAATGGAAATGTGATTAAGGGTGGATATATGAAATACTCTGTCAGCTTTGCTCTTCCCTAAGGATATCACCTCCTCCAACCACGAGACACATAGTTGTTTACTGGATTTTCGAATGGATTCATTGAAAAGTGAAACTGTGCTCATTTCTTCACTAGCCGAATTCTGAGAAAGATTGTCTACCTGAAAAACAAGTTATATCAAACTGCATTAGTTTAAATATCAATGAGCACAAAAAACAAATTGCAATATTTGTATTTTCCCCGTGTATTACATCTTGACAAATATAAACATAGAAATAAAGTATCATGACTTTCCTACAACTCTCTTGTGGCAATATTGGATTTATTTATTTTAATATTTCCAGATGAACTCTAGGAAGAAGCTACCAATTACTTGCTAGGCATAAAAAAATCATTACTTTTCCAAACCAATAGTGATTCATGCAGAAAGCACTGATCGCATAAGGGAAAACTCATGCAAGTTCTAAGACTCTTATTTAGACTTTATTTTCAAAATATTAGGTGATAGGTACGTATTACTCAGAAATGAAAAATTACTATTGGCGTCAATGAGACAATGATTCTTAAGTTAAAGTGGGGAAAAGCTCTTTTTATATTATCAAGAGATATAAATTAGTTTAAATATTTGATCAGAGAAGTATTAAATATCCACTAGTTTCCATTATTTTCTTATACGGTCCGGATTCATGCAGGCATGCAGCCATTCAAAAAAAGCAATCTCATTCTCATCTCACATCTTGGTTTTAATATTGAAGTGGGGGAAATAGATGTATATGCATAAATTTAAAAGGAAATGACAGAGACAGTGCCTGCCTCTTTCTTGAGTAGCTGAAAAGAAGCCCAAAGTAAACGTAGCCTAGGACCTTCAGCAATGGCAGACAAACTTGAAGGCCATCTTGCACCGTTCTGTTCAACTTCATTGGCAGAAATGTTCCATTTCACCTCTTGATTTACAGCGAGCAGAGAATCTGACAGTTTTCCTTCCACTACATCCCAAACAAACTGCAATTTAGTGTCTTCTTCATTCTTGTTTAAACTGCAATTCCAGAGAAGTATATTTATAGCTCTATCAAATGCAGAACGTGATGGGTCTAAAATTTGATATTTTGACTTATTGTCTGATAATTTTCTTACCTACCGAGAAGGGATGTGTCATTAGGGAACACATAATCATGTTTGATGTTTTCTATCGGATTAACAAATGACTTCTTTGATGGAATTACTCCAGCCAAGTAAGTAAGGAATATACTTGTTGTTAGAAGCATTTGGTCCATATTAGCGACCCAATCATAAGCCGTAACAACATTAACATCAAGTGAGGAACTAAAGCAAAAACACCTTTGACAGCTTCTTTTCTTCACAACTCCCATCACTTTTGTAGAATAAGGGGGGAAAGAGCCTTTAGCATTCCATGTTGACAGGTTTCTGAAATGGGAAAGTAATCAGAGTTAAATAATTGCAAACCAAAATCATAGGACACTTTCAGAAATAGGTATTGGATGTGTGGTAAGGTCATAAAACACATAAAAATTCTTACTTACAAAAATCATAACATTAAGAAAACAATCATGAAATGTTGATGCATAACATCATTGTTGAGCAAGTGATTAAAGCTTGCATGCACACGAGTTCACAGCCATGCACACGTGGAAATTATCTATTTAGTTATCCGTTTATTTATTTATTTGGTCATTTGAATAAGTCTTTATTGTTGGCTTAATTGTAGGAGCATGATCAGTTTGTTGTTATCATTTACTTTGAACGTGGGATAAGCCTAAAACTAAGTAGTTAGTTAAGGGGCCTCACTTAGCACTTTCTTTATCTTTGTAATGTCTATAAAGGCAAGGTCTTTGCTAAAATATTTAATATAGAGTGCTGCATTCGTTTCTTTCTTCTCCAGTTTATATTAGAAATATTCATAGGCATTGATTAACAATCATTTGGGCTTTAAGGAAATTTCAGTAATAGTAGACTAATAGATTTATGAATATGTGACCTTCTTGATAGAATTTGTGAACTTTTAGGCACACAAGGTCGCTGTCTTGACAATTTCACATCCATATGCACCTTAACATTGGATGGGATGGTTGCAAATTCTGCCATATCTATCTACATGTATAACTTCATGTAAAAATGTTCGCTTGCATATATATTGCACATTGTTCACTGATCTACTCCATCCTTCAGAAGAAGTGAACTGCACAAACACCACCAAATAGCCAGTTATTACACTTATAGAAGTCCAAACAAAAAAAAATCAGTTGTTGGAATTCGTAGTGTTCAAGCATAATGGCTAAAAAGCGCTGCATTATCACGCTTACTAACAAACAAACGCTGCATTACCAATTCGAGCTCTACCACTTCCAAACATACATTTCTAGACAGTGTGTGCAAAATGAAAGTCCAAAACAGAACAACAATATGCAGATTAATTTTCAGAATTTTAGGATAAATGTCAAACAGCCAATTACACGGCTAACAAGAGAATGTGATGAACAGTGGATATTTGAGCAACTAGGGTTTGGTAGATTAAAAGCCACATAGAGAAGGAGATTGCCTGAATTGCAACGAACTACGTCGTGCTTGTTTTAATCCGCTCTCACACTCCCTGTAGAAGAAAGAGATGCACAATATAACCCAAATAGAAGACGAACGATGCTTTAAGCACTAAGAAAATTCCCAGGGTATAACTTCCAATGTGACATGGCTCAAGGAGCTCGCTCTGATGAAAGGTTGTGGCGCTTTAAGGCACTATGACATGCTTCTTGACATTTTAGAATCTTTTGAAGGAGCTAACAGAGGTAACTCTTCATAGATCAAACTCAGTGAACCATCCCCAATTGGGTACGAAAATGGACAGGTGGTTGAAGACTAAAAGTACCCTGCATACTTGCATAGTACTGGTACACTCCCTAAGCCCCCAAGTCCCTATAATGTTTCATTTTTATTACTCCCTACTTGTTATTCCAATTTCCTTTTTGGTACATATAAAATTAATTGTCTCATTTCCTTATTAGGAAAGAAATTCATCCTAAAATCCGTTACTGTATCACTACACTACCAAAAATATCTTGTTTTTTATAAAGTGTACAGTAATTATCTTAAATTACGTGTAAAAGCAAATGAGACAGTTAAAGTGATAGAGTTGTGACTACATAGATGACCACATTGAACCGTCGTGAGCAGCAACAACAACATTCAAGCCTTAATCCCAAAAGATTTTAGGGTCGGTAACATCAATCGATCCATGATATCGATGCCAAAAGAGAAGACAGAGAAGAAGAAGAGGAAGAAAAAAAATAAGATAAAACGGATAAGATAAAAATAAATTAATACGGAGTATAAGATAACAATAACATAAAACAGCATAAAAAACTAGAAGATAAAGGGAACATAAGAATATAAAAAGATAAAGAAGATAAACTATCAAAGAAACATGGAGAGAAAAGATAGAAGAAATCAATCGTCCACACGAATGCGCACCCTCCACTTTACTCTATCCAAAGCCATATAGGTATGGGTGAGAATAATCATTTTATATTTGATGGATTATAGGGATCCAAACTATATAATAAATGGAGAGATTGAGCTCAAGAGAGGGAAGAAGATGATGAATAGTAGAATATTTGTATGGAGTATGAATTAAGAACTTAGGGTTACAAGTTTCCCAAAAGGGGTATAAATAAACAAATAATGGGTCGGGCCGCTAATATGGACCCGATAGGCCCAACTACATAAAAGAGTAATCTAGTACATACAAATGATATATGAACTCTACAATAATACAAATGATATAAATGACATCCGATAAGCGTGAGTGGGCCGCTGTCCGGGCCCAATAGTCGTGAGACCCGGGGGTCCGAGTCTATATACTCTATCAGGAGTCCCCCACTCCCTGAGTCGAGGGTACTCGAGGCGAAAGGGAGTAGAACTGTGTGCTGATCTGTCTTCGTCTGGTGAGTAAACTTCGTGAAAAAAAATGAATTTCTGCTTCTTTGGTTAACGGAGGCGGTAAGTCCCACGTTCTTCCAGTCTCCCACTCCTTGAGGTGAATGTAGTGAGGTGAAGAGGAGTAGAGTAGTGCATGTCTCGTGATGTCTTCAATAGGGGGGCGAGGGTCGACACCTTTTGTCCACGTTGGGGAGATGCCTCGCTAAAAACCTCATTGGGAAAAAATCCTAATGAGGGAAAAAGAGTACACCGGATGCCCCCAAAATGAAGCAAAAGGGGTGAACCCTTCGACCTGGGTGTGGAACTGCAACCGTCGGCATCTGCCAAGGGGATGGCCAAGATCGGTCCTCATATGTGCGTAGCTCGGCATGATAGGTAGTCCTAGTCATCAAATAAAGATGACTAAGAGATAGGTCGAGTGACCGTCCATAATATGATGTCCGGGTCATCAAATAAATTGATCGAGATATGTGGCCGAGAGGCCTATAAGAAGTCCAAGCCATCAAATAAAGATGACCATGAGAAACGGCTAAGTGGCCGATATGATGTCATCATATAGGTGCACATATGCATTCAAATAAAATTGTTATAATTTCTTGAGCTTATAATTTGCTATTGGAATTGGGCCTAAATTAAGTTGTCTCAAATTTCCAAGCTAGGGCTCAAGCTATATTTCTATGCTTAGTTGAGCATGGCACGCATAAAGGATTGAACCTACCGCTAAGGGATTGCAGTTCAAATCCGATAGTTAATGATATGGCACACATAACTCACACATAACATAGAAACTAGAGTATGCATTTCATAACATTTGGATTGGGAGCTTACTATCCACACTCGTTTGACGTGACCCGGTGACGCGAGTGTGTGTGCTCGCCCGGTGTACGCGAGTGCTCGGAATTTCATAAGTCCGTTTTTCAATGTCAAAAAATATACACTATTTAAAAAATATAATGATAGTAAATTAATAATCTAGCTCAACTTGTCACTCAAGTTCGTAGATGGGATCCGCTAGACGCTATTTACGGGTCTTTTCACGGATGACTCGCCACTCAAGATTTAAGTTTGATGCTATATTATTAAAATATTTCATTTATGATTTTTTTTTGTAATAATTTTTGAATCAATTTGTGATATAATTGCTAATTGTATAAAGGAAATTTGGGAGCACTTAGCTTTTTGAAAGAATAGGCTTGGACAGAATAATCCATTAGATAAGCCTGGCCGAAATAGTAAATTGTCGATGCGGATGGCCCAAACTTTTTGAGTGGGTCTGACCCAATAGTAAACTGCCGATGCGGAGGCCTTCCCTCTTGTGTTGCCTTTGGACAAATAATAACAAAGTGTCGTGTACGGAGATGGCCAGAAAGGGGAGGGTTCAAGCTCGTTCGTGGCTGCCTCCCGCTTCCCCATGGCCATTGTTGCCGCTGAAGAATAGGCAGGGTCGCTTCGGTCGTGGCTATCTCCGGTGGGGTCTCCCGTTTGTTTTAGCTTGAGCTGCATTTGGCCGGACCGTGGAGGGAGGCGAGTAGCGTGAAAGTGGCGTTAGTTTCTATTTGACCGCTGCCGACGAACGACAACCGATCGTGCTGCGACTCAGGCTAGCTACTTTTCGGACTGATTCGAAAGAAAGGCAGCACCGCCGTTCTCAGCTTGGCACCTTTGCCGTGGGGCCGGTGCGGCCAAGGACTTGAGCCAGGGACGGCGTTGCGACCAGCGACTGCAAAGCAAGTTGTAGGCCTGGGCGGAGAAGAAAGTTCAGGCTGAAAAAATCCAGATCTAAAATTCCAGACTTCTTTTCTCACTGAATTTCTATAGTAGTTTTTGACTGATTTCTTCATTTTTTTCTATTTTCCAGAACACTTTTGGCTATATTTTCTGGGATTCGTATGTATTTTTTGAACTTTTGGGAGGAATCTAACTTGATTTTGCTCAAACCTCTCAATGAAAGCACCATTGATGGATTATAGGGATCCAAACTATATAATAAATGGAGAGATTGAGCTCAAGAGAGGGAAGAAGATGATGAATAGTAGAATATTTGTATGGAGTATGAATTAAGAACTTAGGGTTACAAGTTTCCCAAAAGGGGTATAAATAAACAAATAATGGGTTGGGCCGCTAATATGGACCTGATAGGCCTAACTACATAAAAGAGTAATCTAGTACATACAAATGATATATGAACTCCACTATAATACAAATGATATAAATGACATCCGATAAGCGTGAGTGGGCCGCTATTCGGGCCCAATAGTCGTGAGACCCGGGGGTCCGAATCTATATACTCTATCAATATTTATGCGTAATTTATTGTCAAGATTCATTCACATTATTATTAATTAATAATTAGTGAATTTAAACAAATTTGTTGTTTTAACGAATCGCGGTAAAACCTTCTTTTTAAAAGGTGTTTTACAATATTTTCGTTGGTATTACTTGATCTGATTAACCCTTCTTTTTCAATCAATGGGGGTGTTTGATCAATGATTTATGAGTCATTTTTTGACTGCTTTGACCAATATTTGGTCTTTTTGACCAGATAGGAGTGTTTGGTTACATGGTTTTTATATTTAGCTTTTAATCTAAACAGCCAAAATTTTAAAAAGCCACAAAACTTGGCTTTTAGGCATTGACCGATTTAGTTTCTCGCCTATTTTTCCTTAATCTACCCATATTCGATAATTCTCGGTTGTACTCCTTGAATCAATTCATATATACAAGTTTGTGTTAATTCATCAAATGGGTTGCTCCAAAATTTGTTTCTTTTGCTTTTTATTCAACTCAGTACTAAAATTGGGTTTGTTGCTATTTATCCCAACGGCTGGGTTTTGCTAATACGTCTAAAAGATGATTGCTTCTGATAATATTTTTAGTTTTTGTAAATCATAAAAACGGTTATGGCTAGTCATGCAAATAACATTTTTAAAGAAAGAAATTTATTATATTTTTTTAATGCAAATAACATTAACAAAATTTATAATACGTATATAATAATATAAAAGTAGTTAGTAAATAAATAATTAATTAATGTACTTAAAAGTCATTTAAAAAGTTATCAGTTGATTGAAAACAAATCATTTAACCAAACACTATTTTACAAACTGCTAATACAATCAACTGATCAAAACAGTCAACAGAATCTGATGTTATCAATCAGCCAACACAGCTAACATCCAACAGTCATTTGCCAAACACTTCCAGTGCCCTTCCCATTACCCGCCTCATACCCACCCCATTTATTTATATTTATATTTTGGTTTCATTTCTTCCTTTTTTTGCTCCACGCCTAAAAAATGTAAGATTTTTTCCTCTCCACTGTGTATATATGGATGCAATGTACTACTCCGTATATGTAAGATTTTTTTCTAGTTTAATTAATTATTTCAATATAAGTATATTCAGCTTCAAAATAATTGGGGTCGTCTTCTTTCCCATCTTGTAGGTGCACGAGACTTTTACTAGGCATCTCATATCTAAGTCTTTTAAAATCTTTGGGTCATGAACCATCTCCTCTTTTGTCAAGTGTCAACATCATGTGTAAACAATCTTCTTTTGTCAAGACTACGTAGTGACTTCTTTATTTCTCAATTGATTCAGATTTCTTTTACGAGAGAAATCCCAATTACCACTTGTATTAAGTTTTTATAATAACTATATTGGAGTAATGAAGTAACAATAAAGTAAATTCAAGTAATTTTAGGCATATTTACATCAACAAACAGGCTCTAATAATTACAGTTATGCAAATTTGCATATAATTAACAAGCCAGCTGATCTCTAACGGGAGTAATCTCTTCAAACACGGGCAGCCTTCTTGACCTTAACGGGCCCAACTCACTCATCACTCCATCAAGCCCACTAAAAAAATCATCATCCAGCTCTGGAAGACTCTGTACGGAATATGTGGGCTGCAGCTTCCGTATAAGCTCCAATTCGGACACCAATTCTTCCATCCGGGTTATGGTTTTCGGTTCATCCGAACCCGGGTAGCTCCCCTTCCACATTTCTTCAAGGAAGAAACGGGCTTCGTCGTATCGGGATTGCTTGATCAAGCACTGGACCAGGTTACAGGCTTTGTTGCAGTCTGCATCAATCATTTGGGCCTTTCGGTACACCACTTCTGCTGTTATGTAGTCGTGCTTCAGCATGTAAGCCCAGCCCAAACTTCCCTACGTCATTTTTACACGTTCATGTTAAAAGAAAAATCACATTATAATAACATACCATTTCAGGTTTACGGGAAATGCACAATATATGTTACAAAAACATATGTACTACACAGTGTGGCATAATCAGACATATTTGTAAAGAGGTAGATGTTAAAGAAATCATTGTGTGTGGACAAAGTTTAGGATTTTAACATAAGAAGTACATCTTTATAACTCGCGCATAATTGTATATGCTTATATGCAATAGAAAAAAATTGTGGGGTTGAGGATCCTTCCAACCCCCTCTTGTTCTAGATTTATTGGTAATGCCGAACCACAATTTACCTCAAAAAGGAAAAAGGATTTAATGAGGGGTGTAGCTAGGGAGGTCTAGCCTAAATTTAAAAAATGTTTTAATTTTTAGTGTAAAAAATTTCGTGTAATTTTTTTTTCCAAAAATATTTTTTGTATGTGTGTAGAACTTTCTTTTATGCATGACTATATGTAAAATTCTTTGAACTCGCACAGTCCAATTTACACTTTTGGTTATGCCACTGACTAGACTGATGAAGTGATAATGAAAATGTTTCTCTTAATAAATAAAATGACTCAAATGGCATTTAAAATATATCACTTGCTAAAATTAAAGTAAAGATGAGAAGATAATTAGTGAGGAAAGTCATACCAGTAATCTGGCACTCTCTTGCGTGACAGAAACTTGAAACTTTTTGCCATGGGAACGAGCAGTTTTGGTTGGTTTGCCATTGAAGACCTTCCCTTGATATATCTTTCTTAGCTTCTGCTTTATTAACGTGATTTGTTCATCCACTTTTCCACATTTCTGCATATAGTAATTGAATGTGCCTTTAGATTAATACACGCTGCAATTAACTCATAATATCTTTAAAGAAAGAGCCCATTTTGTCCGAATGAAATTACTCATTTTGACACTTTTAGTCCTTCGATTATTATATCACTGACATATTTGATATTCGACTTTGAATTTTTCAACTTTTAGTCCTTCAACTATTGGGCGAAAGACACTTTTGATACTTGTCACTGAAAATTTCTATATTTAGCCATTCAACTTTCATAAAAGTGAAACATTTGATCATTCAACAATTAGGGTAGTGACATTTTTAACCCTTCACTTTTTGTGTATTAATCATAGTTGAAGGATTAAAATTGTCAATTTGATAATACTCAATGACTAAATGTGGGAAACATGGAAGCCAAGACTGATAGTATCTCTTGCACAATAGTCGAAGACTAAAAATTAAAAAATTAAAAATTGATTATCAAAAGTGTTCCTAACACAATACCAGAAGATCAAAAGTGGCAAAAACTCCCTTGAATAATTCGACAGTGATTCCATGTAGTATGTTTTTGTAGTTTTAAATATATATACTCGGTATATTGTAGATAAGACAAGTTATTTTTGAGAACAATTTTCTCCAAAAAGTTTTTTTTAAAAAAATTAAAATAGTCTCAGTCATAAAATAACCTTGTATAAATCCAGAAGGACGTTGTCAAAGGAATCCTGAGATTGGGTGGGGCAAAGAACACGAAATGATTTGATGGCTTCAATGGCTTCTTCACATCGATCCAATTGTTTCATCACCACGGCCATGTCTTTAAGGGCACTTCCTACCCTATCCCCTCCATTTATGGCCTTCCAAAACCATACTACTGCTCCTTCCAAATCCTTTTCCACCAACTAAACACATTTCATAGAAAATTAGACTCAAATATACCATATCCTCTAACATTGGAACATAAGAATTTAGTGAGATTATTAACAAAAGTAAGTTCATTTGTTGACATTAAATAGACAAAATAAGAATAAAGTTCAGTTTTTAGAGAGAAAAATTGTGTATAAAAAACAAATTATTCGTACTTCTATTCGAGACAAATTCAAATAATTAAATGAGTGCTCATTGACTGGTCCATCGAGCACAAAACATTGTCTCACACTCCCACTCAATGGTTTTTTTCTCCCTCCCTTAAATGAGCTCCATTTACCTCAAGGTGCCTTTTATTGATTTAATCAATACGTAAATTTGTTTTTTCATTCAGATTTGATTATCTTGAGTAAAAAAAAAAACAATTCAATTTCTAAATGTATGAATTTTGATGATTGATACTTTCTCCTCTAGTTAAAACTTTATTTCGAATTTTGAACAACTATATATTTTTATTGAACATTAGTTATAATATGAAAATTTACTTTATTAAAGGTACTTTAATAAAAGTATAAAACTTATACTCACGTAATAATATTAATTATACTAATAAAAACAATGGTCTCATTAATTAAACTTTACGATATGACAAAGTTTTAAGAGACGGAGGTAGTAGTAATTGAAAAATGAATTATGATGTAAATAGAGTTACACAGTATTCTAAGAGGCGTGAGTCATGACAAATCATCCATGTCAAGCTTCAAACCTTTGAAGCCTAGACGGGAATATGAGAAGTCTAGGCGTGAATAGACGTTTTAGATTTCTATCGACAATTACTATTTTATACTAATCTATATGAAAAAAACAATAAGTGTCCAAAATATATTATACAAGATTGAGGCTAATTTTTACTTTGCTTATTATATATACTTTTTAAATGCATATAAACTCCAAATACAAAATGATATATTGTTGCTTTTTACAACTCCATATTAGATTCATTATATAACATGCTTATGAAATCATTTTTTTTAAATTTAATCATTTTTTCTTTCCAAAAAAAAACTTTCGCCTTTTCACGCCTTTAATGGTCAACTCTTCAGTTGGCCGCCTTTTCCACGTCTTTCTACTATAGAAACATTTAACCACCGCCTCATACTTAGGCCCTGCCTTTCATCGCCTTTTAGAACACTAGAATTAAGTCGTAATTGAATGGAACAAACTAATTTAGAGCCCGTTTGGTAACACTAAAATTGGCTGAATTGACTAATTCTGCTGAAATTTATGAAGTTCTGGCTGAAGTGACTGTATTGGCTGATTCTGCTGATTTATGAAAAAATTATATTTAAAATATTTGTTATTGATAAATTAAACAAAAAAATATATGAAAAAATAGCTAAAATGATCTTATACAGTAACTTCAGGCAGAACAGCCAGAAAAGTAACTTCAACCTTACTTTTTCTGCTTATTACAAACTTCAGCGCGCGAAATAAAAAATTACGTGTTTGGTGAAAAAGCTAGCTGATAAGCCTGATAAGCCGAAAAAGGGGGTCACCAAACGGGCTCTTAATCTAAAACTTAAAAGAAAAGAACAAAAATTAATTGAGCTTAATTTAACTAAATTACACATACCTGAGCATGTTTGGCTCGAACATAGGGACCATCACCTGAAGGAACCTTAGGAGTTGCATCGATTGTCATCTTTTCCCTTCCTGAACACCATTCCATCTCAACTCTGCCTTAATTAATTACTTAATTACCTTTTTTATTTCTTCACTTCATCTTCTTCTGCCTCTCGTCTGAATAAAAATAAAAATATTATTACATTTAATTGATCCACAAAATTATACTCCGTAATATAAAGTCGGATTTTCGATTGAGTAGTCACAGTAATTAATTAATTAATTATTTATATAATCATATAAAGTATTAGAAGAACTGAAGAAAAAAGAGAGTGGCCTGGGCTGGGGTGCGTACGTAAAGTGATGAGTAGTTGCTTGCACTCTTAGCATGTGGAAATGAATGAAAGAATGAATGTGGGAGCTGCACCTTCAGGCTGTGTGTCTGTATAAGTACTCATTTTGAAACCACACAGGGCAGGCTAAATTCACTAATGTATCTGGACTTCTTACCGTCCATGTTCGCCTCATTCTGTCCCAGTTCTATGAATATATGCATAAATATATTGGATAAACTCTTGGTTTATATTTTACTCTATGTTTGATACAATATAGTTTGACACAATATTTAAGAGAAAATTAGTTAGAGTAATCAATAGCATAGAAAAAGTAGGGAAAATGATAGAAAAGTACTCCCTCCATATCACAATAGTTGCAACATCGAAATTTAAACACTATTCATGTACTTTACTTTGATTAAATTTTATTTATTAATGTATGTGAATTATTTTTTTTTTTGAAAAATATTGTTGAATTCGTCTCATTACAAAGTTTCATAATTTGTAAAAAAAATTCTAATAGAGAATTAAATATAATAATGGTCAAAGTTGTGCATTGGTAAGCGTGAAAAAATGAATCTTGCAATTAAAAAATAACGGAGGATAGTATAAAAGAAAAGACTAATTCAATATTTTTAAAATGAAAATTTATCAAAAGGGAAAATTTAGAAAAATTAAAATACATTCAAAAAATATTCAAAAAATGGAAAGTGTAACAAATATTGTAGCAAAAACTAAAACACATTCAAAAATTGAGAGTATAGGAAACACGGGTGTGACAGTACATGACTAATTGAGGGACCAGAAGTGCGACTTTCCTTATTTATAATTACAATTTTCAGTCTCATATGAAACCACACCCGACTTAAACATATCATACCAAGTTAGACCAGATGTAATCAGACTAGGTCATATTTAGATAATAATAAAATATAGATACACCAAATGTCTACAAGATCAGACCATACACGACTTAAACATACTAACTTGCACATACCAAATCACATCACCAAGAATTTTTAGTTTAATAAAAAACATATGTTACATCTTGTTGATTTTATGTCCCGAAGGCTCAACACCAACCTTGGATCTAGGAAGTGGACTGCTACAGTAAAGTGTATAAAAGGAATATAAAAACTGATTGATCACCCAAATAGTCTTGTTCGTATTAACGCAGTAATAACAATTACACGTGTTGAAGATATTTTAATTGTGAATCAAGTTTGTCATAGATTAGCTTTATTATTATTCTTTGTATTAAATCAGTGCATGTATTAGATAGAATGTGAGCCAAGTATTAGGCCCATATAAACAGGCTAAAAGCCTTTCTCGCCTAACCTGAACCTCGCCTATAAAAAGGGAGCCGAGGGTTCAGGATTAGGTTAACGTCGTACTTATTCATTATAGCCTTACGCGCATATCTTTCTGTGTACGAGTTCACGGTCTATCAAAGAGGGTTTTACATTGATTCAATCTGTGTTCATCTTTACGTTTAATCTTCTTTGTTAGACTGCTTATCATTTCTGTTACAGAAACAGGGACTATCAATTGGCCAGGTCCATTAGCTCTGAGAAGAAGAGCTGTGCCAAGTCGTAGTTCTTGTTGAATGCGATGCCATGAAAGATGAGCAGGATCTGCTTGTTGCATTTGTCAAATCCGGCATGCTTCGGCGACAGACACTTGTTCACTAGCCCGAATAGGCTCTTCCACGGATGATGAAGATATGCTCCGTTGAAGTTTGAGAGCTGTGGCAGTAAGGAGGTGTAGCCGAGAGATGCCACGTCTTTGAGTAGATCGGGGATGGATGGCAGCGCATCATACGTGTCTCGGACTAGCAGCGCTAGTGTAGTATGCAGTGTTGATGGTGTCAGAATCACGCGCATGCCGTTCAGTTTGGTTTTTATCTTGGAACGATCCTTCGGTGATTCCGTAGAAGTCGCAGCATCTGGCTCAACTGCGCAAGCACAGCCCTCACCCAGCCACTCGATAACCTCTCAACAGGTTATCGTTTCAAAAGCACGGGACTCAACCCCCTCACTGGTTCCTTCCGAATCAGTTGAGCGTACAATTGACCTATCGCCCGAGGTCAAAACCCCTTCTTCTATCACATCGAGTCTAGATGTCACTTTTCCTACATTTTCTTCCTTTTCTAGGACACCTACACTATTCACTGCACATACAGGTGCACACACCCTGAAAGCAACAACCAGAGCGCAAGCTATGACGGTTGGAAGCCCTGCTATGCCTTCAATGATTCCATCATTGCACGCAGGCCACACATAAGCTATCTTCACTGATGCTGTGACAACAGTTACAACCCCCGTAACTGGTCACCCAACCTTTGAAGACGTCAACGTTCTACTAAATCGCTTCCTAGATTCCACCATTAAACCATGGGTGCAAGATGCAATGACCGCTCTAGCACAGGAATTTAGGACCACCCAAGCGGTTCTGTAACACCCCCATTTTTCCCGCCCAAAATAATACTTGAAATAATAATATATTGATAACAACCTTGATTTATTCCTTAAAAATAGATAGAGTTTTGCAGCGGAAATAACAATAATGGAAAAAGGGTGTGTTACCGCCACACCCAGCCCTCAACTTCGCTGGATGTTAAGGCTATCCACCATGAGTTCAACCGAATTAAAAACTTAAATTCAAAATTTAACAACATTATTTAAACTAAGTGAAGACTACACTTAAATCTTCTAAAGCGCTCTCAAGACTCGTCAAACATCATGAGCTTCATATTCATCATTACCTGCACAAATAAAGTGCAGAAAACGAAACAAAGAAAAGGAAACAAAAATTAGCTTTAGAGCTAAGTAAGTACTACCCAACCCCGTAAAATAATCAAGTTTGTCAAAAATAGTTTTTCATATAATACTATATATAAAAATACTCACACCACCGAAATTCTTTTCAAAACATTATTTATCAACAATCTCAAATACCCTTATAATTAAGAATAATATTTATAAGCTCCCAACAATTAATTAATATCTCAAAAGAAGTATCACTTTTCAAAAATAACTTTTGAAGCTAAAAATATCACCCTTCCGAAATCAATGTCACTTTCAGATTCTTTTAAGATGGGCGAAACTCAAGATTCCTTGAGCCCAATGAATCGTTGTTGTGTACGACTCATCCCGGAATTCCGGCTCCCACCGACCACCAATTGGAAACTGAACTTCACCCTTAAGTGTGCACACCCCCTAAAAGGGATTACAAGCCCTCCGAGTAGTAAGAAGTCCAAGTAGTTCGGACAACGTCCCCCTACCTCACAATGGGTTAGAAACCCGGGTAATTAGAAACTACTACCGCGGCCACCAAAGAACTATTAAAGTTCTCAAAACAAATACCGGGAATCTCCCGCCACCAATATTTACCGGAATTTCTCCCGCCACCAATAATCATCTTAAACCTAAACTAAACCCGCGGTATATAGCTCTAACCACCCACACCTCGCGTTTCTCTCGAGATGTCAATAATTATTATAAAAACATTATTCATTCTTGGAAAATCCTCTCTATATACAATAATCCAGAATATCTATTTAATAGATACGTCCACCAAAAATTCACATTCATAAATACTCCAAAATTCTTTTACATAAAAATTTCACTCCAAAGTCATACTAGGGATTAAATCCCAAAATATATCTCCAATATTTCACAAATTCTTAGTCACCCCAAAATAGTACACATTTAAAATTTACACTTAATCACATAATGCATAGTAAGCATATAATACGAGGAAACAATTTTGGATTGGCAGAGAAACTTACCTCAAGTCCTGTTGCTCCTAGTTATCCTCTTCTAATCTGGTCTCTAGATAATCAACTTTTTAATTAAATATGATAAATTAGTCACTTATTCTATTTGTAATTACTTTACCCGATTTTCTCCTTTTATTTTATTATTCGCATAAACTTTGGTTTATTAATCACTTTTTATTAATCAAATTACCTTATGAATTCAGCCATTAATTACAATATTTGAATTCTAATATTAAATAAAATATCCGAATATAATTAACTACAACATCCAATTTTTATTCAATAATCACCATTAATTTACTCTAATTATTATCTAATTACTTTATTTACATAACCGAAAATATTTATTTTCCTTATTTTATTCAAACATTATTTTTAGTCCAGAATATTATTTTTCAACCTCAGTGATTTATTTATTTCACCATTAATACTAATATTTCCTTATTTAATTACTTAACTAGTTTTATATGGCCTAATTTAAATAAATAGACTAAAAATTGACTTTATAAATTAGTAACCGTCCATAAATATATTTTGGGTCTATATTCGACCTAGGTTGTCCAGGTATCTATTTTATAATTATTTTCCATAATTATTCCTTTAATTTCATATATCTATTAATCGGTTTAATTACAATTAAATATACTAAACCTTATTTTTATTAATTATAAATGGTCCATAAGGTCCTAGTTAGTCATATATTTATCCTAGTTTACTCCAATATTTATTTCACAATTATTTCCGTCATTTAGTTAATTATTTACTAAATGTGTATAAATTGGCCCAATTACCATTAAATCCATTAAAAATAGCTAAAAAATTTATTTTCCAATTCTGGTTGGTCCAAATATGTATATTTATACTATGTATTTAATTTATATTTTTCCAGATTTTATTTATTTCATTTACTATTTGTCTTTTTAATTTTTATATCAACTGGGCCGAACTGGCCCAAATTAAATTTTCTGGCACAATCTGAAAAGGCCCAAAACAGACCCCAGCAGAATTCTGGGTTGTCTTCTTCCCCAGGTCGCCGGAAAAACGGGAATTTAAGGGGGGAAAGGTGTTACCTCGTCGGACGAGCGAAACGACGGTGCTATTGGCTCCGTTTGGGACGGCGAATGTCGGTGGTGGGTTGGCGGCAGCGGCAGCTCCTCCCTCTTCTCCGTTTTCCGTCGAAAAGTTTTTCCCCGGCGAAACTCCGGCGAGGCTTTTCTCCCTCGTTTCACGACCGTTTTCGACGATTCTTTTTCCGTTGGATTCGTATCACGAAGGGGAAGGTTTGAGAAGTATTTTCAAGGCTTGGTTCTGGCTAAAACGCTGGATCGCAATTTTATATACATATACGTATATGTATATATATGTTGCAGGGTTTGGGATGAAGAAAACGCAGGTTCTGGCCTATTATTTATAGGGAAAGATGAGGGTTTTAGGCTGAGATGTTAGAGTTGGAGTTGGAGTTTAATTTTGATTCTTTTGCACCTTTATGAGTATTAGGAGTATAATTGTTATATAATTATTATTACGTAACTAACATACGTATGTAGGAGTAATTATTATTACGTAACTAACATACTCCTAATACTAATGTTAGTATTTGAGTATAATTAGTATTACCTAGTTATATATCTATTAGGAATATACGTATGTAGTTAGTTAGGAGTATTATGAGTATTTTAATTATTTAGTTTATACTTTGTATATTATACAACCTAAAATAGTTATATAAAAATTAATTTTATACTAAAACATAACTTCTATTATCGGGCCATTTTTATCTGATTAAAAAGTCGTAAACTTGGAATTTTTTTATCTGATTAGAATGTTACAACTGTTGAATTTTTTTTTGTCTGACTCAATTAATAATTAAAATGTTATTTTCGTAATATTTTATCTGATTAATAAAAATTATTTTTATTTTTATTTAAATTTTTGAAGTGTCACATTCTACCCTCCTTAAAAGATGTTTCGTCCCGAAACATAAACTAAAGTTAAATTTCAAAATTCTAAAGTATTACAGGTTCGGTCTGAACAACCCCCACCCGAACCCTTCATTTCCCATACACAACCCGTATCCTCCACCCCTCTATCTCACCAATCTATTAACCAAATACCCGTTCCTTCACACTCTCGGGGAACCCAGGATACAGAACTAGTATTCTCCCCACGCCTGCCACACCCTCCATCGATCTCTCCTCACTACCCTTCGAAACCCTTGCATCGGCCTTGCTGGATAATCTTCTAAACATCCCTGAAGCCAAACTTACCCTTCACCAGCAAGCCATTCTCGAAGCCCTCCTTTCTTCCCCCGAAACCAAGAGCAAATGCAAGGAGAGTCCTCGTGGTCGCAAACGTTCCCATGAGGATCCCGATGATTCGGATCCTCATGAGGGGGAGAACAAGCGTCCGCGATCACTTGAGCAAACTGCTTTACCTCGCCAAACTCCACAGCCCATCCAACCCGAAACCTCTACAAATCAACAGCCACCACCCGTAGCCAAAATATCTAGCCTGGTCGAGCTAGACTCAACATCCCGAGGCGTATCTCCTAGAGATACCAACCGAGGAGGGGATGGAAGTCCTGATGATGCTACCACTGGTACATTATTTACATCAGGCCATCAATTAGAACCTAGTTCAAAGCTGATGACAACGGGCAATGCTAGTGAACCCGGTGTTTCGATTAGAAGGCCTTCGTCTCCAAAAGGTCAACCTGCCACTACCATTATGTTGTCGGATGAAATGCATGATTAGCTTGAATATATTATTATTCACGACAAATGGCCCATACAGTGGACGGAGATGGATCAAATAATGCAGGATGAAGAGTGCGAAGATATGCAGAGAAACTGGTTTCTACAAGAGCTAATCAACAAATGTGCTGAAGATATCATCAGGCTCGAGGACGATGAACGAAAGGAAGGGGAGAACTACAAGGAATCTCAGAAAACTCTTGAATCCGTCGTCAGACAATCAGCGGGAAGACTTCCCAAGACAGAGAAACATTGGGACAATGTTCGAATCAAAGCCCCCTTCCAAGAGGAAATCAGAGAGCGTATTTGGCGTAGACCAGACAAAGTCAAACCGTTGAATGAACTGAAGCTAAGAGGCCTTACTCATCTAAAAGGAAAGCAGGCTGGAGGCCATCTACGTATGTTATTACAAAGATCAACCGGTACTCAGAGAGAGCTGATGGAACAAGACTTGAAGTCCAACATTCTCCCGATTCATCAAATTCTACAAGTGAAAGCCGAGGATTATCACGGAGTGACATTCTATTCTTACAGGCTTCAACGCACTGACGGGAGTGAATTTACTTGTCAAGAAAATGACTTCATCATGCTTAAACCAGACGACATCTATCAAATGTTCATGGCTTATCGATACCTTCCAGTCAGGCAAAGCAGAACATACAGCGAAGGTCTTGCAGCAATCAAGAGATTCATGCTCAGACAAATCAGAGTGCACTCGTCACACGACCTACAGATGGCTATTGAGTGTAACTTGACAAAAACAAATCTGACAAAGCCAAGACTGTATGGTCCAGAACTCGAAGATTTCCCAGCTTACCACATCTTCTTTACACCACCAGCAGTCACATATCTCAACCACAAGAACGAAAAACGTCTGATGGTGGTCAATGAAATTGAGAAATACTGTGATGGAACGCTGAAGATAATCAAAGAACAACTTCTAAAGATGAAGGCACGGCTAGAGGAAAATCTTCAGGAGGCATCGTCATATGTTCAAAAGGAACACTCTACAGTAGAGACCATTTTAAAAGCCATTGACGATCGTCTAGAAAAGAGAAATATGCTAAGGCAATACGAGCATGCACTGAATATGAGGAAGCACTACTTCAAGTCACAGAAGCAACAACAAAGTGACACTTGATCACAAGGGGGGAGATTGTTGAAGATATTTTAATTGTGAATCAAGTTTGTCATAGATTAGCTTTATTATTATTCTTTGTATTAAATTAGTGCATGTATTAGATAGAATGTGGGCCAAGTATTAGGCCCGTATAAACAGGCTAAAAGCCTTTCTCGCCTAACCTGAACCTCGCCTATAAAAAGGGAGCCGAGGGTTCAGGATTAGGTTAACGTCGTACTTGTTCATTATAGCCTTACGCGCATATCTTTCTGTGTACGAGTTCACGGTCTATCAAAGAGGGTTTTACATTGATTCAATCTGTGTTCATCTTTACGTTTAATCTTCTTTGTTAGACTGCTTATCATTGCTGTTACAGAAACAGGGACTATCAACACGGAAATGGCCGAACGGTATAGTAGTTACGGTCCAAAAGCTAATACAAGAGCTATAATGCAATATAAGCTTGTGAGTAAACAAAATCTAACTCTTACAATGAATTAAATGCTTCTATTTATACTAGATGGAGGTAGGTGGGGGGTATGGAGTGCTTCGATATGATTGGTTGCCTCCCATGCCACTTGAGGCCTCCATAATCCAGCATCAAATGCAGTCGGTCACTTGAGAGAATCTCAATCGGTGTTAAGAGCTGCTAAGCTGACAACCCAGTTAATCAACATTGTCCAAATGTCAATTACATTCCGTTCGGGATATGCGGAACTAAAGTCTTTCTTGAGCCACCGATCTCCCGAACGGGCGATCAATTTCTCCTCGGGCTTTTCCCGTTTTCTGGTCCCTGTGGATATTTTGGGCCGGTATATTGGGCCGAACCTTAATATCCCATCACAAGTTCCCCACTTCCGATGTTCCGAGCGTACTCGGGACATAAGGAAGTAGAAGAAACAGACTTCCCGCCGTTCGATCATGCCTCGCTCGGTGTATTTCGTTTATGTTCATTGATCCTAGATGTGATGGTTCAAAATTCTCTGGCGGTTGTTGCTTGCATTCCTTAGGTAACCGTCATGATTACATGACGTTTCGCCTCTGTGCAACACGTAATTTAGATAGTGTGAGATTATTTTGAAAAAATATACGTGTCAATCTACGTGTCATTAAAAATAGTTTATTTAAGTAGCATGAATATTAGGAAAGGGTTTTGGTGAATTTTATTACCAAATCAAAACATGTTTATTAGAAAAGCGAAAAATAAAAGAAACGTTAATAACAGAAATACTGAAAGAGTGGGGCACTGAACACTGAACAATCCCGTGGAGAAGTTGGGGAGGAGATGAATTACATTCTGAGAACTTTGACGACCAAGCAAGAAGTAGATTCCACCATCAGAGATACCGTCGATAAGGTTCTTGTCCTCCGCTTTGGCCGTGCATCAGATCCCGTCTGCCTCCAGCTCGACGATGTCGTATGCTCTCCACCCTAGCATCCCCTTACAATGCAATTTTATTTTTCACGCAATCTCATGACCACTTTTACGATTTCATGTGATATAAGAGTATAAGACCATTACGATTTGTTGATTTGAGTTGAAGATTCGAATTTCCCAAGGATTGTTAGCTAACTCAGCTCTATATTTGGTTGATGAAATTATTGTGCGCAGCTTTATAAGTCCGCGGCGGAGGTTTCCAAATTCGCGACAGTGGCTTTAGTCGATTTTGATTCCGAGGCAGTGCAAGTTTACGTGAAGTATTTCGACATCACTTTGATTCCTTCTACTGTTTTCTTCTTCAATGCTCATCATATGAAGATGGACTGTGGGTAGGCCTCCCATTTCAATCTCGTTCTCTTTGATTTTTTCAAAATTATATTACAAATTCATTACTTTAAAATGAAAGTGTCAAAGTTCCCGAGACGAGCAAAAATCAAAGTTGGAAAACTCCAGTGAGATGGGTTGTTTGTTACTCGTGTGATAGTCGATGGCACTTGCTTGTACTACGTATTAGAAAGAAGCTACATTTGCTATTTTGCATATACTCTTCTCCTCTTCTTGCCATTTGATCTGCATAAGATTGCATGAGGTGTTTGGTTTTTGAAGGGATATGAACTTTTGAGAATCAAATGCTTAAGAAGTGTGCGTCTTTGGTGCGCAGGACTGCCGATCATACAAAGTGGGTAGGAGAATTTAAGACAAAACAGGACTTCATTGATGTTGTCGAGGTAAGATGTGATAGACCGATTTCTGAACCCCCTTGTATCCTCCTAAATCAATTCCATTTAACAAAAAAAACTGCTGAACCTTAATACTTGTTCTACTTAAAACTAATACAAAGTAATGATAATGAAGATGAAATTTGAGTTTCTCTTACTTACACTTCAATATGTTGATTTTCCATACTCTTAGAACCACGAAGTAAATGTTCTATGAGTGGAAGTTGTTTGCTAATCTGTTTGCGCTTTTTACTGCCCATCTATGCTAATAATAAAAATAATTTAGATGCATATGGCAGTTATGGCTGAAGTTATTGTCGGGATCTCCAAACCAAGACTCCTAAATCAATTGGAATAGAACGGTTAAAACTCAGTTCAGTTTTGACATACGTGCTAATGATTTTTATATGGTTCGGTTCGGTTCTTGGCTACAGTTTCGGTTCAGATCTTGTTAAAAAAACTAAGAATGAATGGAATCAATACATGAAAGTTTTATGGTTTTCTTCTTGTTTTTCAATACTTGAAAGTTAACTTTGCCAGGTAACAATTTTGCCTATATTTTATTTACACTTTCGAGTATTTACATTCAGCTTTGCTAAGAAGTAAGAATGTAAGATGATGGCAAGTTTGCAGAAATTGATATTTTCTGAAGTACTGAAGACAAGCACAGATTAGTTTTTTGAAATCAATACTTTTCTGAGGACGCGCGCAGCTTTAAACACCAAAACATGAAAACAATGCTTTTATGTTTATTTAAGAAAGTATCAAATGGATGACTATTAAGAAGTGCTTAAATGTTAAAATTAGAAAGCACTTATACCTGGAACTTGTTTGTTAGGTATACCTGCTTTTTAGAGGAGTGTACTTTTTTGTCTAAAAAAGAAATGTGTGGCATACAAGTTTTTTAGCGGAAAAATCATCCTACATGCTCTTTTTCATTTAAGCATTTCGATTTTCGAAGTGCGTATATTGGAAAAAGCTTGTGAACATTCTCTCGCATATGGGAGAATTTGAAAACTCAGGATTTATTTTGTCTGCTTTTGGGTTGGTAGGCAATATATAGAGGAGCAATGAAAGGGAAGCTGATTGTAACCTGTCCCCTTCCTCCAGAGCAGATACCAAGGTTTCAGTTGCTGTACAGAGATGTGTAACACTTATATAGTAGCTGTACTCCCTCTTTCCCAATAATTTTTTTCCCTACAAAATAATCTCTTATTATATATATTGATGCTTGTTCTAATTTTTAAAAACAAATCCCGTGTCCTTCCATAATTATAGCCAAGGATGAAAATCAAAATAATCATAAAACTAGGAAAATCAATCAGAGGAAAGGATGAAAACATAAGAAAAAAGATTTCTTTAATTGGAATGTTTTCATTAAATTAATATTCTATGAAAAATGATTCCCTTGGAATGTTCTTTAATGTCCCTAACATCTTCTGTGTCTCAAAGAATACCGGATATAAATAATGAGGACTAAAATAGAGAAACCTGCAGTGGTAAAGTAGCATGCACAACTAGCCAAATCCAAGGTACTGAAACTATTATCCATTTATTCTAAATAAATGATCTGTAGCAAAGCACAGACATGTCCGTTCATGTTTATTTCAAAATCCAGACACAAAAACTGAACTATATAATATGAAACTTGTAACAGCATTAAGTAGCCTCGGAGAGCAAGTTGCTTCTTGCGATCACCGCACTTGCATTGGAGACACCATCAACTTAATCCCCTCTTTCAAAAACCGCAGCAGCACCCATCCCTGAACCTGCAACTCAAAAATGATTGATAGAGAGGGGTAAGGGTTGATTGGCAATGAAAAAAATGCCCCTCACTCTACTAGGGGTACACACGTTCCAGAACAGAGTGGGTAAATCACCGGGATTGGAACGGAACAGTTACTTGGTACTAGACAACCCGGGCATGTTTATGGTTCCTCTAGAATAGGACTGTACCGGTTCTGATACCAGTCCCAGATTTTCTAATAGGGTATAAACTGGACCAGAACTAGCCTGATCCAGAATTCTGGTCCCGGCCTGGTAGGTAGGGTGTTGAACGGGAATTGGCTCGGGTCCACTCTACTCTCAACTAGACTGGTTTAGAAATGTATGCAGTGGCTATGAATTACCTATGCACATTGATATAACACCAAATCGACAACCTCTTCCGCGACGCTTCATCTCATGGAGTAATGTAGCAACACACCGTGCACCTGTCATAATATGATAACACCATTTGCGGAAAACAGTTGACTTCAGTTCAAACAAAATATGACTCATGTACAGACTCATTGAGTGGGTATTGTTACCTGTTGCTCCCAAAGGGTGGCCAAGAGCAATTGCACCTCCATTGACATTCACCTTCTCAGGATCCAGATTCAGCTTCTTTTGACAATATACATATTGAGATGCAAATGCCTGCAAAGAAACACTTGAGTGGTAAATCAAAGATTGATAAAAGTAGATAAACAATGAAATGTTTTGAGAGATTCAAAAAATTGTACCTCGTTGATTTCAAATAAACCAATATCACTCAGTTCCAGACCAGCAGATTTTACAGCAGCTGGAATTGCTACAGCTGGGCCTATTCCCATTACAGCAGGATCCACTCCTACCGCAGCAAAACTCCTGAATTTTGTTTTGTTTTCAAATTAGTACAACTAATATTCATTTTTGAAAACCATATAATTCCCCCCCTTCACACTGTCGCATGGATTTTATTTTCCAATAATCATGAACTATATCTACAAACATATAATTAGTTCCGTTAATTTTTTAATATTATAGAATAGGTTTTAGATGATGAACCTGAGAAATTAGTATACGTGCATATTTCCATTATGTTTGTAAATTAATTCATACAATTTTTATGCTACCTTATGAGATGTCATTTAGGTCTTATCATTTTAAAGCTCTATTCAAGAGACAACAATAACCTGAATACACCAAGAACTGGGAGCCCCTTCTGAAGAGCAACACTTCTCTTCATAAGAAGAACTGCTCCTGCACCATCACAAACCTGGCTAGCATTTCCTGGAATGGGTCAAGTCAGGTCAACACACATTATGTGTACAGTTAGGAATTAATTGGAGTTAAGCAGAAGATTGTAAATGGGGTTAAATTATTACCTGCAGTTGTGGATCCATCCTTCTTGAAAACAGGCTTTAACTTAGCCAAGTCCCCCATATTTGCATTTGGACGAAAGCCTTCATCGACATATATCACCACTGGCTTCTCTATTCCAGACGTAGGGTCTACAATCTGCTTTCCCCCATATAACAGATTTTAATTAAGCTTCACATATCATAGCTGAGTGCGAACTCCATACCATATAATATAATATATTAATATACGTAGTAATATACTATCAAACCTTTGTAGAAACAGGAATAATTTCGTCTTTGAACTTCCCTGCTGCAGTTGCCGCAGCAGCTCTGTGATGAGAAACCACCTAATGACAAGAAAGAAGGTTTAAGCTGTAAGCTCATTTTGTAAACAAGTCCCTGTGGAAGGGAAATATATATAAGAACAAGCAATTGAAAATTAAGCTTACAGCAGCATGATCTTGTTCTTGCCTACTCACTCCATAACGTTGTGCAACATTTTCAGAAGTAATGCCCATTGGTAGAAGACAATCATTGGCTTGTGGGATAGTCTTTACCTTTTTGAAGCACACATTCATACAGAGTTTTCAATAATTGAAGAACAATACACTGAATTTATGTTGCACGGAAACGCAAAAATCATGAGGAAACGGGAAACAGGAAACGTCAACTTTTGCTCAAAAAGGCTTGTTTGGAGAGTTTCTGTTAAGTTTCCGAAATGGAAATGCACTCTTTCCCGAGAGTTTCCGTGCTACATAGCACTGAAATTCAATCCAGTGTGTGTTGGTATGTTCTGGGGTGGGGTAATTTTTTATAAATTAACATTTGAATAAAAGAAGTCTGGTTTAGTACTCTTGGATTAACAGTTTCAGAGAGACTGATATTGTCGACTGTCATGCTCTCTATTCCTGCCCCTATACCTGAACAAAGCAAATACGTAGTATAAAACACAACCAGTTATAGAAAATGTAACATATCAGAACATCAAATACATAAACAGAAAATATTTAGTAAAATTGAGAGAATGATAGATATTTTTGGATAAAAGTAAAGCTTAAAAAGGAAATTCTTTAAACTCATTGTATTTATTTTTTCTTTTATAAAAAACAGAGAAATTCAAGCATATGAAAAAAATTGACAAATTTAAAGCATGATTGACTTTCATTTGCATATTCAATGGTAAAGTCAAACAAAAGAAAGTAACGCGCTTACAATTTCTTTCTTCTTTCCCTAGCTTTTTCGAGGATCCAAAAATACCGTAAAGCAAACTTAGAAATTTTACCTATATCATAAAACCCGGCTTTTATGGAAGCTGCTACATCTGCTACCGCTTGAAGACCAGATGAACATTGCCTGTTAACAGTTCTTAGCGGAACAGACTCTGAAAAGAAGACAACAATATTGATTTAGACTGTATAGATATTAGATATATTGAAATGGGGGGGAAGCAACATTGTTAATGAAGAGAGAGTATAATAGTACCAGGAAAACCAGCATAAAAAGCAGCCATTCTACATTCAAGAGCCCTTAGAGAGCCCTTAGCCAAGACAGTGCCAACAACTATATCTCCCACTTCAGCAGGGTTTAGATTTGTTCTTTCAACAACAGCCTGCATTAGAAAATCTCAAATTTGTATATTAAATCAACTAATATTCAAAGATAACCCCAAATAAACTAATCTTTTTCTTGTCAATATATATTGTATAAACATTGAGTGAAAAATCAAGTTGTCATGGTAGGCAGTTTACCTTGAGAACAGGAGCAAGTATGTCATCAGGAAGGGTATCTTTGAATCCTCCGCGTTTGGATTTGCATATAGCAGTTCTATATGCACTGAAAAACACAACAGCTTAACCATTTAAGCATTTACAGCTGAAGCTAACGGTAAAAAGGTAAAGAAAGAATGAGAATAAACTTGAAGATGAGAAACTTACGCCACAATGACAACATCGTCTCCAGAAGCAGGAGTTCTGTTATAAGCAACACCATTTCCTGCTAAACAAATCGAAGACTACCCAAACAAAAAGAATGGATCACTTAATTATACAGAGTAATGAAATCAAGAACTGAACAATGTAAGGAAACATGGAGGAACTGAATCAACTGATAAATACTGCATCTTTTATCCAAAATATAATAACTTCATTTGTAAAGGGAGAGCCTTTTAGAGAGGGAAGTCAAAGGGATGGGAAAAGAGTTCACGAAATCTTGACTTCGTGATCAAGATATTGTAAAGCAGTGAAAATCATCTGAAATACTTGGCATAAGTGATATGAAAAGCTCTTACAGATAGAGAAGATGCATTGGAGTGATCAGGAAGAGGAACAGGCGGTTGGAGGTGCTGAAGAAGAACTCTCTGTCTGTTGATAGTCCTTTCCATTGCAATTTCAGCGTTACTTTCCTACTTGCGGGGCTGCCATGACAGCTATATATATGCATATGAGTCATATGACTATGCAAAGTGTAGTTTTGTGGAAACTATGAGGTACCCAACATTAATTTTTGTAGTAGCCATGTTTTCACCAAAAAAAATTTAATTGTCATTTATTTGAAATGGTCCCATTAAAAACTGAAACCAATCCAAATAAAAACATTTCATATGTTAGTTTATATTTTGATTTTTTAAAATGGAATGTTAGAAAAACATTTCATAGGTTTTTCAGATTATTTATTGATCTTTCTAACTCTTACTTTTTAAAATTTCTTACGAATCATTATTAAATGGCTCATATATCTAAAATTAACTTTCCAAATTGACGTTTAAAGTCAAATTAGCTCACGTTTGAACAATATTGCTTAAAAGTGCATACTGATAAATTTCTATGGAGTAATAGATTATATTCAATAAAAGTATATTAAAACAAACTATTGATAAGAATAGTTTGTTACTACATGACAAACTATAAAATTTGTAAATAAAATTGATAAGCTTTATTAATAACATCCTATTCATGTTACTAATTAATATGATTTCTAGGAAATTAGAGGGCACGTAGTTAATAAATCTTGAAGTAAGAGTTTGCATAGAAAATTAGAATCTATTTGATAATACAAAAATTGGTTGAATTTGCTAGAATAAACTTTATATAATATATAAAATTCTGTAATAAAATATTTAGAGTGTATTTTATTAATAAAATAAAAAACACATATGAAAAAATAGTTAAAATATTCTTATTTGGAAAATTCAACCATAAAAGTAACATGAACCTTACTTATTTAGTTATTTTGAATATTACACAACTATCACACGAATAAAAAGTTATTCATTTGGTAAAAGATAGAGTCATGTAATTTCTACTACTACTACAATTACTGTTGTTGTTATTATTATTATTATTATTATTATTATTATTATTATTATTATTATTATTCATATAATAATGTGTAGCATATTATCCATTTACATAGGCCATGCAAACCATATGGATATGTTTTCTCCTTATACTTGTATGAGCTAACCTCTTGTATACACATATATACCTACATATGCATAATAAAAAGTAGCAGAGAAAGATACTATAATAGGTTAGAAAGATTTGCCAAAAAAAAGTAGCAGCAAAGTTTTGGGTTCTTCTAAAATACGTAGTATATCTCTTCACATTTTTGTCTTTTAATTAAATATTAGTTTCACGAGTTCTTTTAGATTAAATATTAGGTTTATGACTATCAAAAGATTATAAGTCGAAAATATGACTTACTACATACAATTTACAAACAGTATATAAAAAAATACAATTAGATATTCTTTGAATAAATAATTTTATAAAATAATTAAATTTATATATTAATCTATTTTTTTTTAAGTTGTGGACCAAGTCGTATTAAATTTAGATTATTGTTTAAAATTTTGATATTTAAAACATGAGGGTAATTGTCATTATGAAGGATGCAATGAAATGCACATAAAAATGTGCATCTTGAGTCTTGACCGAATTGAAGAGAGGGGTATTATAGACCGCCGTACATCCGGAAATTAGCAAACCTTTGTTCAACCCTTTGTCCCTGTTTTGCTAAATACTTGGTATTGTTTTGATGAAAGTCATGGCTACCAAATATTGGTAACCAGCAATCCAGTGCAGATTGCAAAGAGTATTTTCGGTTTTCTAACATTAAATTAATAATTTTCAGCTAAAAAAGTAATTCTATTATTGTTTTTTGACGGATAAGAAAGATTAGCTCAAACAACCATTTCACATATGGATGACAATTTAACCTGACCCGATGGATACACGCACCGAATTGAACCGTTAAAAATGGGGAAAACTGTTTTGACTGGATAACGGTTATGAGGCAGAGAATAACCGATTTATGTAAACGGGTAATGTGACGGTTATGAGTTTATACCTACCCACCCTGACCCACCATGTTTAATTTGGATATGGTTATCCGCATCATTACCCTACCTGCACAAATAACTTACTCCCTCCGTCCCCTTTTAAATGTCCCGGAAGAGGGTGACACGAGTTTTAAGAAAAGTAGGTTTGTGTGGTTGATATTAATAGATAAAGTAAGAATAAAGTAAGAATAAAGTAAGAATGATTTTGAGCCACACAAACTTTACCAAATAAGGTATGGGACAATTAAATAGGGACATCCCAATATGGTAAAATGGGACATTTAAAAGGGGATGGAGGGAGTATATACTAGTAGTAGTACATTAGTATATGCACTCATTCTCTCTAATATTAAGCAAAATGCTATTTGTACACGACATTTTACACGCAGGTCAATTGTCTGTGTATATAACAATTTGACCGATGTTTAGTGAACTTTGTGAACCTTGTATAAAAAATTGTCTGTGTCACAGACAAAAATGTCTCTGTCAATAGTGTGTACATGATGCATCATTGAATATTAAATTCAATACACTCCTATATAACTATTACTTTGAAACAATATTCGACTAATCAGTGATCCTTTGCAATTTTAAGGAGTTAATGCTCCAAAGTTCACTATTTTAGATTTTGAATTTTCAATATCACTCATCATTCTTCCTTTGTCTTCTTCTTCATTATTGAATCTCTTCTATCTATGACTGATGGGGTTACAGGACTAGACCCAGAGCCTAATCGGCCCAGGCCCCAAACTTGGACCAACAAGCCCAGGCCTAGTGACCCAGAGCTCGAGCGGTCCAACCGATCAGGCCCATCAAGGAGCGGAAGCCCAAGACGGCCTGCCTTCCAGCCCGACCAGCAGCCTGCCTTCAGCCCAGCTAGGAGCCTGCCTTGCAACCCGGCCAGCAACCTGACTACAACCCAACAGAGAGCCTGCCTTGCAGCCCGGCCAACAACCTGCCTACAGCCCAACAGGGAGCCTGCCGTCCAGCCCAGTGGGGAGCCTGCCTTCCAGCCCTGCCAAGAGCCTGTCCTCCAGCCCAGTGGGGAGCCTGCCTTCCAGCTCAGTGGGGAGCTTGCCTACCGGCCCAATCGAAAGCCTGCCTTCCAGCCCAGCGGGGAGCCTACTTACCGGCCCAACCGGAATCCTGCCTCTCGGCCTAACGAGGAGCCTGTCCTCCAGCCCAGTGGGGAGCCTATCCTCCAGCCCAGGGGGGAGCTTGCCTTCCAACCCAGCGAAAGCCTGCCGCCCGAGGAGCTCAAGCGTTCTGCCTGCTAGCCAGCCAGGAAGAGTAACGACCAACAATCAATGCGCTATTAATTATGTATTTAATTTCGTATTAATGTTGTAATTAATTGAGTCATTATTATGCTCGGAAGGTAGACTCCCCGCCTTGGAGCTCTCTCGTCCTCATGATTCTTCACACGTTTGGGGACCTCTGGGGCATGAAATCCTGCAAATAGGTTAAAAAGGCTATCAGAATCAAGTAACAAGATAAGGAGCTACGTGTCTCTAAAAACAGTGATAATTCGGGGAGCACCAACATGCTGCCCACACATGTCGGTTGCACTTATGATTTTGCGAAGGTCCCAGTCGGCCTGAATTGACCCGTTTCCTATGGGGGCGAAGGATATATGTAGTTGCAGTAGGACAGTCGATATCAACCTCAAAGGTCTCAACGACTTCAACCATGCGGGGATGAAGGTGTCATCCAAAGAGTTTGGATCGCCCACCTACTTCCTACCACCGAGGAGCAGCACTCTGACCTTGGACCCACCACCGCCCGGGTGACTGCCGGCCTGTAAGTTACACTGCTGATCTTGGGTGCCGTCCGCCCGAGCACCGTCACCCTGGATGGTGGCGCTGGACCCCTGTGCTTGCGTGGTCTCCGTCACTGCCAAGCAAATGACGACGACAACAACCCTGCCGCCCAGAGGAAGAAGAGCACCGGGCCGACCGCCAGACAACGCGAAACCCCAAGGAATAGAGACTTCAGCCTGGCCGCTCAGCCGCTTTGCCGCCCGACCACTTTGCCGCCCAGTCACTTTGCCGCCCGACCGCCGGACAACGCGGAACCCCAAGGAATAGAGACTTCAGTCTGGCTGCCTGACCGTCTGGCTGCTTGGCCGCCCGACCACTTTGCTGCCCGGCCGCCCGACCGCTTTTCTGCCTGGTTGCCCGGCCGCCCGGTCGCCCGGTCGCCTAGTCACCCGCCGCCTGGCTGCCTGCTTCCATGGAGGTGACGATGCCATCCGACCTGGGGGGCACCCAGCCGCCTGGCCGCCTAGGACAGGATGCACGCATGCAGGAAGTCCAGGAAAGAGAGAGAGAAAAGAAAGCAAAATATAGGAATAGAAACATATGATTCAGGATTTAATGTTGAATCAAAGTTTACATAGGTCAGCCGTAGGCTACAAGAAAAATAATACAAAATCATGACTGGACACACCAAGTGGTATCGTCATCACGCATCGGGGTCTAGTCAGTCCCAACGATCAACTCCCGGAGTTGCCACGAACCTCCGAAACCTCTCTTGGAATCCAGCCTCCGGCGCCATGTTCGCCTTGGTCCTCCTCTACTCAACAAACAGTTTCCATTCCGCATCTTAGCATACCACCAACATACTCTAGTTGACTACCGGGTCAGTCATTGGGCATGCTTGTTGATACATTTGTAATTTCCATATTTATGTTTGTGTTTTTAATTAGTTTTGTTTGATCTTTACTATGGAAATTACACACTTTTGGTGTAATAGATTAGTTTGTTAAATTCTTGTAAATAGTTTAGATTAGATATATTCTGAGCTCAAACAGGTCTTGATCACTCGAAGTACAGTTGGTGAACCCAAAGAGTGGAAAGAAGGTGCAAAAATTTGAAGACAAAAGAAGATCCTGAATTTTGGTCTATACTCGGTCGAGTATTAACTATACTCGATCGGGTATTAGGTTGGAACTTCAAATCGGATCAGATCCGAAGACAAGAGAACATGCCGGGAGGATTTCGGCCACGATTTCATGTCTATATCCGATCGGGTAGACCGACATACCCGATCTGGTATGCCTTTGAATTTTAAGCAAAGATCGGTCGAGTATGGTACGAATACCACTTTC